GCGGAGGAGGAGAAGGAGGAGGAGGAGGAAGAGAAGGAGGGAAAAAATGAATCCACGACGAGAGGAATCGCGGATACGTCCGAGCGGGGGGGGGGGAGGGGGAGCGGAGAATAGAGCCGAGATAACAAATCGAGGAGCTTTGTGAGACGAAGGGGAAGAAAGCTGGGAAGCTTAAAAGCCCTCTCGATGCGATCTCAGCTCGCCCTTCTCGCGCCGCGCTGCTTAGCCCTCGTACCTTTTCGTCTTCGTTCTTGGCCGAGCGAAAACATACGGACCGGTGGCGTGCGTTAAGCCACCACCTCCTCTCTTTGAATTATTCATACAATTTCTGCCGACGCTCGTCGTCGGACAACGAGGCGGCGGCTCGTGCGCGCAATTACTTCGAGACAGCGGTGGCGAGCCGACGACGCGGCCGGAGGACGACGTCCTTTGACGAACGTAAAGCCAATCGTTAAGCGGTGCTTGTAATGGAGACTCGTGCGTCGCCCGAGTCTCCCCCACGACGAAGGCTCTCGAAATTAGACGATCCGCGTCGCTGTGGAGAGAAGCGCGACTTTGGCCATTATTTTTATCGCCCGCGCGTAAAGCGACTGTACGGGGATATCGCGAAAATCCCCCGTGAGCTACGACGCGATAAAACTCACCGTTCTCCTTTTCTCCCTCGCGCTCTCACCCTCTGGAAATCCCGGCCGACGGACTTTCCCGTCGGTGAATATCGAGCCGGAGTTCGCGATTCGAGATGGAAAAACGAAGGCGCGAGCTTAACCGCGAGATGGCTAAAGAGAACGGGAGGGCGGGAGGGAGAAGGGGAGGGAGAGAGAGAGAGAGAGAGAGTCGCCCGTTTTGTTTCTCGCCCGTTCAGCCGACGAGAGACCACTTTCCCGCCCGACTGCGGCGAGAGCCGTGAATTTGAATTTGTTTGAATTTGAAGCCGAACAAGCGCGTAATTGATGGCGGCCGATTAATTCGCTCGCTCGCGATTCTGCGCCGCGTCCGCGGCGGCCGGGCCTCGTGCTTTCGCGCTGGCCAGCGTGGCCGTGCGTGTTATTGATCACCACAATTATAGGTACGATTTCTATAACGGACTGTACGTAATCGTATGCACGGCACAACTGTCTGATTATGCGCTTCGCTGCCGGTTACGAGACGGCGGAGTCACAGCTTTCCTCCGCAACCGCGGCCATATCGTCCGACTGACGCAGCGATTTTATTCCGCCCGGAACTCGCCGAGAGAGAGAGAGAGAGAGAGAGAGAGAGAGAGAGAGAGAGAGAGAGAGAGAGAGAGAGAGAGAGAGAGAGAGAGAGAGAGAGAGAGAGAGAGCGGAGGAGAGATACGTTACATTGTAACGCGGCGTGATGAAGATAAGGAGGAAAGGAACATCGCGCACGTCGTGCGCGACGAAGTCGTCCGAGAGCTCGTGTCTCGACGTGACGCGACAGATAACCGATACCTTCGACATCCCCCGCGGAAGAGACTCCACTCGTGATCTCTTTGCCCTTGCTCGCCGCGCGCGGAAATCCTCGGCGAAGAGCGAGCGTTACTCTTCTTCGCCTTCGCGGCCGGCGGCTAATATCGCCTTTTGGAGCCTTTAGGGGCGCCGCCGAGGACAGCGGCGGGCCTGTCCTCGCCCTCCGGCCGCAGCGCACCCTGCGGTAGGTGCGTTTGCCTTCTTCACCCTGCATCGCGATCACTCGTGCCCTCGCCGCGGGATTCTCGGGGATCGCGGAGGCGGACGGCGCCAGCCAGCCGCGTTAATTGCCGCCCGCTACGTCAATGTTGATTTTCACGGGCGAATTGTCTCTCCCCTCCTTCCCTCCCCCCCCCTTCCTCCCTGTTTCCCCGATCTTTCTGAAACCCTGCTCAATTTCCTGCGTGCGTGTCTCTTTATTTAGCCGATTCAACGAAACTTCACCGGCTCGCTGCCCGCACTCGTGCCCCCTCCCCCCTCCTCCGCCCCTCGTTGGCGTATTTTCGCGGAGACCGTCGAATTTTCCGCGTGAAACCCCCCGGCACTCTTGCCCCCGTTATCACTCGAATAGCCGCGAATGAGATTGCCGCCCTCCGCACTACTTCATCCCCGTCCGTTTTCACCCCCTTTCGGAAAGCTGCCACCCTCTCTGTCGTCCCGTCGGAGATCTCTCCAGCTGCGACCGTGCGAACGGAAACCTACTCGACTACGCCTGGAGAGAATCGCGCCGCTGTTCCTCTATTATTCTCTCGTCGCCCGTCGCCGCTTGCGCCTTGCGGAGGGTGCACGAGAGGTAGAGAGGGAGGGTCGCTCTCGCGCCACTCTCGAGAGCTTTCACTGCGAGAGTTGAACACGGGGGACGCGCATCTCGCCCCGTGAAAAGACAGTACTTTCTTCTCAACATCCGGAGACGCGCCGCTTTGGAGCGGACGGGACCTCCCCCTCCCCCCTCGCCCCTCTCCCGTACGTGAAATCGCGATCACTCGCGCGGATTTGGATACTCGGCCGGGGATACAGACCATCAGTGTCGTCCGCGTGAGCAACGGCAGCCGTTAGGCATTTCCTCGCCGGAAGTGCTCCAGCCGCCGGGGGGGCGGGGGGACGACGACAACAACAACAACAACAACAACAACAACGGAGGGCGCGCGCGCGCGCGCGCGTTCCTTATTCTCGGGGCTGGGGCGGTCGCGCGTGGATATTCTTTCTCCTCGCGCAAGCGACTGCGGTCGCGCGTGCTCGGGCCAAAGGGCACGACCGACCGTGCGCGCGGCGTCGGCGATGTGATACGCGCGTCGCGACGTCCGGCCACCGACTGTCGGCTGCGCCTCGACGGGACGTCGACGCGACGCCCGAAGACCACCGAGGACGACCGACGACGCCTCTGCTCGCGCTATAGCTCGCCGCTGGAAATTCGCTGCAATTTCCTACGGCGCTTCCACGAGCACTGCGCGCACCCGGGGAACCGCGTCCGTCGAGGCCGCATTCGGACGTCCTCTCCGGGTCGGGTCGGCTCGGGGGCGAGAGGGGCGGATGCACGCGCGCTTCCGATTTTTTTCCGGGGTGCACGAGCGTTCTCCAGCTGGTGCACCGGAGAACGCCCGGGGCCGCGAGCGAGAGAGTCTCGTCTCGTCTCGTCTGCAGCCCCGAGGCTGCCTACATCGTGTTGAGCGACGGAGATCAGCGTTCTCGCAGGTGGAAGTATCTCGCGTGGGCTCAAGTAGTAGCGATCGATGACGAGTCGGACCGCGCCGAGCTATCGATTCTTACTTTCGGCCGCTTCTCTCGCGCGGATGGAATCCCGCGCTCCTCTCGGGTTCGTCTACTTGGATATCTTTCCACCTTGGAAGAGGTGTTTCTCTTGTTCCGTTTGCTCAGTCATAAGCGCGGGAGATTGCCGCGAGTCGTTCAATAGCCGATAGTCGTTTTACGGGCGCCTGCTTATCGATCGACGCGCTATTTTTACGTGCGCAACGGAGACGCACACACGCATAAATTTCTCCCCAGAGAAATTTGATTCGCTGCGAGAGATACGTGCTTTCCGCCGCGCGTTATGTAACTCACGTGTCATTGGCCGCGCGATCAAGTAAATTTTCGCCGTTGAGCGAGAATCTCCATCAATCTCGTGCCCGTCCCTGTTGTGTATACGCGAGCGAGCATTATGTGCTTCGTCACGTTGTTTTGTGCTCGAATTTCAGCATCGAGAGCCATCGAGCTGAATTGTCGATTTATTTCCGTAGAAAATAATCGCGTGAAATTACGCAACGCAACGGAGGAATTATAAACAGTCTTACCGCGTCTCTCTCTCTCTCTTTCTCTCTCTCTCTCTCTCTCTCTCTCTCTCTCTCTCTCTCTCTCTCTGTCTCTCTGTCTCTCTGTCTCTCTGTCTCTCTGTCTCTCTGTCTCTTTTTCTCTCGCCATTTCGCGGCCATCTGCACATTCAAATGAGACGAGTCTGATTTTAATAATGAAAAGGACACTCGGCGATGCTTGACGTCGTTGGAAAATTCCAGCGACGACTTAAGTAAATGGCGACCAAAGTAAATGACGAGGACAACGTGGAAATGCTCTATATAGTTTTGGCGGCCTCAATGCCGCACAATCATTTATCAAATCGACGGGTGAAACGTAGATTTTTAGATTAAACCGCTTGTATGTGCGTGCGCGGAATACACCGTCGAGTTGCTCTTCAAACGTGCTCGCAATAATTAAACCCGACGTCATAATGGACGGCAATTCGGACTGCTCGACTCGTATCTCGCAAGAGTCGCCGGCTTCGCAGATTAAACCGAGAATAGGAGGTGCGCTTCTTTCGCTTGGCCTCAAATTAACGTGGGACGTGCCGCGAATAAATTCATCGTTACTCTTACGAGTGTCAACTTTGCTTTATACGGCATGATGTTATACGAGTAACGTGCTATTTCAAAATATCGCGACCGTGCTCTCACGTCATGTCAGATGAACGGCGAACGCGTTATAATCGCGGATCGTTCTGTCCTCGAGAGATTTCGATCGTTAAACGTTGCACATCCAAAGGCGCTTATTGTTTGCTATTGTTAGCAAAATACACACCTGCGAGGTAGCCGGACGAACAGTCGGGACGCTCCAAAGACGGCTGGAAATTATTCGTGAGATTTTCAATGTCGCGGAAAAAACGACGCGTCTGTCCGCTGAGAGCGCGCAGGCGAAAAAAGCCGCCCTCGGCCGGTGTCGGTAATGTAGTAATGCAGCTTATCCTCCAGCGAAGATGCGAACCCGTGGGAACGGTTCGTATCTCGGCTAAATTAGCAACCGATAATTTATCAACTGTGTTATGAACTGGGTCATTGAAGAGCAATATCTTTGGCCGCGTTCAGTAGACTCAACGGTTGGACAACATTACTAGATTTTCTATTGAATCTCGCTCCTGATTGGTAAATACTTCTGGGTCTATGAAGAATCTAAAAGAATGCTCCAATCACAGACACTATAATCACCAAGCGCTCTCTGATCACTTTGTTCTACTGAACGCGGCCTTTCAAGTTCCGGTGCTCTTCGCGGTGACGAGTCGATGTTTTTAGGACGATGCGAAAATGGCGAATACGTCTTTGTGGTGTAGCAGAATGACTAAGCAAATTTATCGGGAAAGCACAAAAGACAGGGGAATACGAGCGTTCTCGAGATTATTCTATTCTCGGGCGTGAGAGACTGCCGACTCAGGAGTGGTATGGATGGCAAGAGGTCTATCAAAATGGTACGTTGTCTTTCGACCTCCTCCATGATTCATATTTCTTTTTACGATATTCTGCCGAGTATCAACGCTGCAACGGCGAAGCGAGCGTTATTCCTTTCCGAAACCGCGACAATTTCATCATACGCGAAAATCAAGTGATTTCACATCGCATTGTCCTGCATGAGAATCGTTGAGTCCTCACAATATAACATAACGCTTATTGTTATTAACATAGGACCCGTTATCACCCAACCCCGGCCTAGCGATAAACGATGACGAACTTGTGACGATTTCGGTGCGAGACCTGAACAGGCAATTGAAGATGCGTGGGGTCACCAAAGAGGAGATTGTGCGTATGAAACAGCGGAGGCGCACGTTGAAGAATAGAGGTTACGCAGCTAGTTGCCGCATCAAGCGTATAGAACAGAAAGATGAACTGGAGACTGAAAAGTCTCAAGAATACCGAGATATGGAGGAGATGCATGAAAACAATAATCGCATGAGGGATGAGATAGAGTCCTGGTACGCAAAGTTTCAAGCGCTTAAGAAATTTGCTATGGAGAAGAAGATTATGATTCCACCAGAATTGGAAATGGAACCTAAGAAGTATAGCGATTGAGTGATGATCAAATACACTTGTTGATCACACACGCGCATGTTAACAACACATGTGCACAATAAGGAGGAGGATTTGATGAGCACCGCAGAAATTGTTTGCTATTTATTTTTTATTTTTATGATTTCTACATGGGCGCAGCGAGGAAACTTCCATTTCCTATGGCTTTTAGAAAAATATAAGGATAGTGTAACATATAAGATTTTTAGATTTTAAGCTGCATAAAATATAACCATGTATATATATACATATATAAACACTTGAGAAACAGATTACAAATATAATGCTATTTACGTAAAGAAAATAAGATTATATATTCAAATGGTAAATGAAATTGGAGGAAGGGCACAGGTAATTGATTCTCATTTATCTTTGTCTTCGGTACATAATAAAAATATTAACTGAGCAACTACATGAACATTTATTGAATTACCTAGTAGTCTGTATTTTTGGCCATCACTAGTGTACTTCGGGAAGACAAAATTTTCTGGGAAACACATTAATCTGCATACCTCTCGGGGAGAGAAGAATCTGAGTTTTAATTCCATCAAAACTGATATTTCTTCGTCTGAATCTTCCCTATGATCAAGAGCTTCGCAATACTTTAAATTGATCATCTCGTCTGAAAATGGACAATATATAGAACCTGTGCCTTCTACATAACGACCATATCCTTTAGTAAAGCAACAAGAACCGTTACTTTCAGGTGTGCGTATGTCTATTACCCATGCCCTTTTTATTAAGAAATTTGGGTGTAATAGATACCTTGATTCTTCCACATATTCTTCCACGATATTATCTAAAGTATAGCATATTTTACCAGACCTAGAATTAGATTTGCCAGTTTTCTCTGCCAACAAAAAGTGCTTACTTTTTGGCAGTAGTTTTAACAATTCAGACGACGAATCATTTTGCAGCGGAGTTTGTTCAAAACAGAATTTTAGATCTTTTCTCTTTGCCAATAAATAATATCTACGTCTACTGTTTGGTATACCAAATTGGCTCGGACTCAACATCAATTCTCTATAGGCATATCCGCATTCTTCTAAACAATCTACCAACTTGTTTCTCATTTGAGATACTTCAAAACCTTGGACATTTTCAAGCAAAATATATTTCAAGTTTTTCAATTTGGGTATCAGGCTTAAAACGTGTAACAAAGAACAAGCTCTGCTATCAAGAATATCCCTTTGCAATCCTAATCTTGTAAAAGGCTGACACGGAGGGCTCATAAGTATAGCGTCCACGTCCAACTTGTTCAATGTCTGTGCACTGATAGATTGAATATTTCTATTCATAAGAACAGTTTCCGGAAAATTGTGACGGTAAACATCGTTCGCAACAGGATTTATGTCAATCGCAGCGACGACCTTCGCCGGGATTCCACTTTCTGAAATGACACGCGTGTGTAACTTGAGCATGACAACTTGGCCATAGGTTAACTTTTAATCATGACTAATGTGTTGAGATTAACGAGACAATTCTCGTATTTATATTTACCTAAGAGCGCAAAATGCATTCCTCCAATGCCACTGTATAGCTCCAATACCTTCATTGTATATGTTGAGGAGAAAACGTTGCTGTTCGATGTAAACGGTTCAACGTGCAGCCAAGTGACAGCTCGTGTGTATACCAATCGATGTTAACCCCTTGCACTATGATTTAAGTCACAACAGCACGTGTCAAAGTCGGTGATAAAGTTGCATCTGTAATGCCCAATCTACATAAATCGTAAGTCATAAAAAGCAAATTGCAGACGCAGAACAAAACACGTAAAAATTGGACGATATGACGATCTTACTCGCGCTTCTTATATTTGGTTCAATATACGTACCACGAACCCGACTCGTGTTTCTTATGTTTGGCCCGCAAGCCGTATCACGTGTCTCACATATTGTACGGCAAGGAATTAATATCGTTCTTCAGTTCAAATTTTTTTTAATTTCCTCTCAAGAGAGATACCACCAACGGTAGTTTAAAAGTGATGATATATGCAGAACCGACTGTTTTAGCAATCGAAAACAACACGAATATTTGTACCCTGACTTAAAATCTGAACCAGACGTGTTTCGTAAATTTTTAGAATTGCATTCATGCTCGTCGAAACAGAGGAAATGACTAACCCGAAAAAAATGTGTCTCTGTTTTTAAACAGAATGTTGAGCTAATTTGCAAGAATTTCCGGTGGTCGTAGAAAGTCGAAATATATGTCTCTCAATTGTAAGAAAAACAAGGAAAGAATATATATATTATTTTAATCTTGAAAATATAATCTTGAAAATTTTAATTTTTGAAAATAGCTAGCCACTCATCTCTCTTATACACAGATGATTTGAAGAAACAATTATCGACATACTTGTATTTTTCGAGATTATTTATTAAAATATGATTTTGATAAAAAAAAATCAATGATATACATATAATATATGCATGAGTGATACATGAAACTTTATGAAATAAAATTGTATCATATCACAATCTATTCCGCATGTTGCCAACATATGTGGTATTAAAGTTTTATACATATGTGTACATTATACATTTTCTTTTTCACAAAATCCCCAGGAAAAGTATTTTTCTCTTCAAGACGTTTGGGGATGTTTAAGTGATATTTTTATTGGGGAAAGAAAATAAATAATAATGATCATTGAAATACTAAAAATTAAAAACATATTTATAACCTGTATACTCATGATTCATAATCAAACATTACTATCACTAGTTGGAGGAATGTCTAGTCCGTCGTGGCAACTCAAAGTGACTTTTTAAATCTTCATTTATATGAAGTTTGTTAACTGCTTGATAATTCAGCAAAGGAGGTCTTGCCTTAATGCCAATAGCTGTAGGTCGTTTGGCAGGATCTTCATCCAACATCATTTTGAGCAAATCATACTGTAAGAAGGATATTTTATGTTGCTTGTATGACAGGGCAACGTTGATAAACAATAAGATAAACTGTCATATTCTTAACAATCTTACCTCAGCTGCATGTTGTTCTGCAAAATTGCTCGGAAAAATGGATTTCCTCAAATCCGTAAGCACCATCGCTCTTTCCATATCGGTGGAGAAAGGTGTGAGGAGCTCAAAGTAAATAATCCCCAAGGAGTAAATATCTACCTTGTAATCGTAAGTTTTACCGTTTGCCTGTTCGGGTGACATGTACAAATGCGTGCCAACACACGCGGTATGTATGCTATCCATTGGACTACCGTCCACGGTCTCATTATCAGACACAGGTGTACGAGTTCCATCGTAATCCTTAGTCATCGTAGTTGCAAGGCCGAAATCGCCAACCTTAATACTATCGTTGAGGGCGAAGAATATGTTTGATGGCTGAAGGAGAATTGAATATTTTTTCTAATCCATATAAAAAGGAAGAAGAATATAGCACATTAGACATTACATAAAAATACCTTCAAATCTCGATGAATTAAACCTTGCAGGTGGATATATTCCACCGCGTCCACTATTTGTTGAAAAATGCTCAACACCCGAAGGGGATCTCGAACTGACGAATTCTGCTTCAGCCATTCTTTGAGGCTCAGTCTTTGGCACAACTGCATTTGTATATATAGGAACGTTCTTGTTTTGGAAGCGTTTGATTTGACGGCCAGTTGTAAGGAGAGCGCGGCCTTTCGACGGTCGCGAATTCTTTTCTTGTTTGTACTGTTACTATCGGTTTCTTCCGTAACACTGTTATCGCTTTCTTCCGTAACACTGTCATCAGTTTCTTGTGTCGCAATATTGTTATCGCTTCCTTCGAACACAATGCTTTCAGAGCGATTACTGTTGTCGATAAATGGTGAATTTTTAGCTGCATTTTCTGAAAGAGACGCATCCGAACTGTCGCTACAATTACCAATATCAATTGCATCATCACGTTGCGTTCCGCCTGAACGTTCGAATGTGACGACTGAATCGTTGGTCGTTGTTGCTATCTTGTCCAACTCGTAAGCTTCATAGGCACTCTCTACGGATGGCGAGTCGATTTGTGGCACATCAATGCACACGGAATCCTTGGGTTTTGTTTCAGTCTCAGAGATTAGCGATGGGCAACCAGACGAGGACAGTTTAAGGGCCCACTGTTTGTCGTGTTGCTCTTGCCATCCAGAGGGAGGGCATTCTGTCCAAGTGTTGAAGTATCTTACGATATTAGAATGGTCCAGTTTAGCTAGTGCTCTCACTTCCCGCATTGCGCGCTCCTTTGCATTTTCGCTGCAACATACACGTTGCGCACAATTATATACTTTCGAGTCCTACCATTTAAATTTCACCGTAAATAATGTACCATTTAACAGAAAGTTTAATATTTATCATCATGGAATTGTGCATTGAAGAAGACTTACTTATTTGGGATGGAAATCCTCTTAATAGCATAGTTGCAATAATCTATCTTATTTTTTGCCTCAAAAACAACACCGTATCCTCCTTTACCCAAACAATCCACCGGTTCGAAATCTTTTAGATAACGTGACTCGTAATTATCTGCATTCTCGTTCTCATCGGTAACCTTGATGTCCATTTTGATTTCTGCTATTGGTGTTGCTAATATCACAGGCTGAAACGTCACGCTCATACATACTTGAGATGGATATTAGGATCGATGTCTATTTGTCGAAAAATTCACTTACCGGAATTATAGTATTTTTGCGAATAAAAATTCCCCATTGCGGTGTTAGACTCAACAGGATTATGAGTAATATTACTAAAATTTCTTGCCTATAGTAACGGTAAATTATTAAATATGGTAAAATATAAATGACATAACGGGAAATGTTTTACAACCATGAAAAAAGTTCCTTACCATTTAGACAAAATTATTCTCTGAATCGTTTGAACAGGTTCATTATCTTCTTCAATATGATTTAATATGAATTTTTTCGTATTTGCTGCAAGTTCACTATTGTTGGGCTGTTCGACGAAAGTCGATTTAATTTCATTTGCCGGATATAGATAAAATCCATTCCCTGCAAGACATTAATTATGCATAAAGAGCTCCTGGTGCTAAATTTGTTGTTATAGAATTAACCATGCTCTATCGTCTCTCTCTCTCTCTCTCTCTCTCTCTCTCTCTCTCTCTCTCTCTCTCTCTCTCTCTCTCTCTCTCTCTCTCTTTCTCTCTCACCATTTACATATTCTGAATTATACAATACAGATAACGCAGTTGTACATTGCACTTCACTTATCGTAGTGGAAACTTCCCGATTATCATTCTTATCTGGTAAAATGTTTGTAGCAGTACCTGAAATTAAATGTACATGTATGAAGTAGAAAGAGATAGTAGAAATTTGATAATGAAAATTGCAAGCTTGATTTTTTCATACCAACAGCTGGATAAGGTAGCCATGGATATATCTTAGGTTGAACATGCTTAAAAGATGAATCTAACGAGTCTTTAAATTTCACATTTTCCTGCACGTACAATTGCCTCTGGTGCATGCCTACGTATATGTCCGGGCTGCTCGTTGTGTAGTCGGATCCCCATATCCATGGAGAACTATCAAATAAATTAATTTCTTCCAAAATATCCTGGTTTGTAGAATCTTTGTCTTCTTTTTCACGCCATATCGAAACAATTGGAGAATCAAACTAATAAAGAACAATAATTCTTAACATTCATGAATGCACATGCAACAAGTTGCAATTGTTGTACCAACCTTGTATTGCCACAACTTGTTGGTAGGATCACTCTCATTAATTGCCCAAATCAAACCTTCTGGGATAATAGCTTTGATTTGTACATTCAATAGGGAAACTTTATCTGGACAATAAATTTGTGCAGGAGGTATCAGCACCAAATCATGTTGCCCCACACTAAAATTCCACCTTTAAAGCAAAAAGCAATTGCAAAATTTTTATATACTTTGGCTCATATATTCTCCTCAAATGGCTAAAGATATTATAATTATAACAGTGATTAACATCATGATGCTACAAGAAATATAATTTACCTTTCGATACCTGTACGAGCCTCTACAGCTCGTACAGTTTGTTGAAGTCGCTTAATGACAAGCACTTCTTGCTGTAAATATCCTTTATCATCAGTATTATTTATGCATCCAGTGATGTCACATTTATACAAAATTTTGCCTGTCTTGGTATGTACACCTATAAAGAGAAAGAGAGAAAAAAAGCATTCGCAATTTATACAATATTAACAACAAAAATATTTGAAAGACAAATTTGGCTACTATCAGCTCTACATGTAGCAACATTGTAACATGTGTATAATTTGACTGTGTAACAAATGTTATACAGAATATAGCTGTGTAATTAAACATATCTCTCCCACACCAGGATGTAAACTTACCATAGGAATGTACTTCTTTACCACCTGAAAAGACTAAGTCGTTGGAATAACGAAAGGAGGAATGTAACAATTTGTCAGTTGTTATTGGTAGCAACTCCAGATTTTCACCGTCAAATTTGTACATACCACCATTCAATGATGGGATCAGACGTACCCATTGTCCATTATCATTGAGCTATAAATTATTTTGTCTATGTTATCAATGCGTATTATGTTTCGAGAGGTAATATACTACTTGGCAAAATAGAGGAGGCAATTGCTAATATATCAACAAACACAATCAACATTTATAAAAATTTTATTACTTCTCTGCTATGAATATTAGATGACAACATTGGTCCATTGTTAAAGTCCAAAGTCCATTGTTCTTGTCCATTGTTAGCAGCATCTAGGGCTGATACTTTACCATCCAGCGTACTGACAAATATCAAGCTTGCAAAACAATATATCTGTTTATATACACAGAAGTTTCGCTCAGCTTGCTTCTACATGCAGAAAATGTCTTAAATTGTCGGAAAATACCACGAGTATCATAAACAAATCAATAACCGGTTAATTAAATTTACGCTTGACCCGTCCTTATTTTGACTACAAATCTACGTTCTCGAAACTGTCAATGTTATATCATATCAAAGGAGCGACGTCTGACGTGTAAAAGTCAGAAGGATAATTCCATCGGAACATCGCGGAGTTTTCGCGGAAATTCACCTAGTCAGTTCGAATGAAGGAAAGTACACGTCATTGAACAAATTACCTGCGTAAATTATCGGATTGTTGGGCGCACAATGTCAACTGTTTCGTCTTGGCGGTATCATCGGCGGTAACGAAGAAGCAACAAAAGATCGCGAATATCCCCCAATAGTGAAATAACACTCGTTGCGACACAGGTACATGGAACATCTTCCGATCGCGAAATTAATCAATGCCTATGTATGCATTCTTATCGAATATACTGATATATTTGTGGGTGAGTCAAGCGCACACCGCGTTCGCGCGATCAGTATGTAAACCGATCAAGAGACAAGCGGCGGGCGCGATTCGCAGTACACATGCACCGGAAACTCTCCGATTGACACGCCAAATCGTGCCAGATTGACACGCGAGGCGTAATGCGTCTTTCGTCACGACACAACAACAGCGATAAATCTTTTTTATCTAGTAATTTACCACGAGTTCGACCATACTTTAGAGAGGCGTATCTTGACTGGTGACTTTGCGCCACGCTGTCAAATGACACCAGATAATCCGCTTTTTATCATACAATTTAACGACGCGAGTCATTTCGCCCATTTGATGATAGGTGGTTCCACCTGTCCCTCTAACAGTCGACTTGACACACTCTACTTATAGTTGCTCGCGTGATAATGGCAATTGCCAGATGAGAAAGAGAGAAAAAAGAGAGAGAGAGAGAATGAGAGAGGGAGGGGAGAGGAGAAGAGTGTTGTGCGAAGAAGAATTGATCGTTTATCGCGGACGGTGATTTTCATGAGGTAAGAAGAAACGCGAATTTATGTCTCTTCCAATTCGTCTCGTTTCGCGATTCCTCACCCTGGTCGATCGGATTACGATCTGACGGTAATGACGGCCCGTAAATCACGGGGCGCATGACGGCCGTCCTTTCCTCCAGCCATACCTGAGTACAATAATAGATTTGGCTGGAACCTGCAGCCTGATTAAATAAATAGTATTGTGTCTCTGCCTCTCTCTCTCTCTCTCTCTCTTTCTTTCGGACTGCTCCGCCAGTGGCGTCCGTCTGCATCCCGCTGCTGTGCGAACAACGTTCACCTCGACGTTTTTCCATCGTAATTTCGAAATTCGTATACATAACCTATATCGTTGTTGCGAGATTAAATTGTTACGTGCGTGATGTTACATGCAGGTAACGGGATACGCTTGCTGCCGTAAAATCCGCGCGAGAACGAGTATAGTTCAGCCCCCAACGTACACGTCGTACAAGGTACTGTCGATTGGGAAACGGGTGATTCTTTGTGCTCTTGAGAGTTTCAAGGGAAACGGCCTACGACGGCTCCTCGTTGTTGCAATTGCACATGCAATCGAAATTTTCCGTCTATTGCGCAATGTTGAGATTTAACACCGACACGTAATTTTACTGGAATCTTGTCTCGTATGTAACATGTGGTATTTCCCGTTGCTGTTACAGCAAGCAAGTATGGAGGGTCAACAGTTCTGTTTACGGTGGCATAACTTCCAAAATACACTCTTGAGCTCTCTCCCAAAATTGCTCGACGGTGGTCATCTAACAGATGTCACATTGAGTGCTGGTGGTAGACATATTCATGCTCACAGAATCATATTATCAGCTTGTAGTTATTATTTTAAAGAACTGTTTAAGGTATTTATGTATAAGATGTTTTTATATTTGCATTACGCAAGTGGATATCTGTGCGATACATCAGTCATACTAACATAGCAGAGACATTTGAGTTTTTCCAACATGCTCTATATATTTCAGTTTTAACACAGTGTGTTCTTTGACTGTGCTTTTCTGTTCGCTTTCCTTCTTGCTTCAAGCTTGTCCCAACTGTGAGATATGTAACTTTACAGATGAATTTTTTTAGGACTTGAGCTCTTTGCAACATCCTGTTATCGTGCTACCAGGCATGGAATATGCAAATTTGTGTGCTCTAGTCACTTTTATGTATAATGGAGAGGTGAACATTTACCAGGAACAGTTGCCTGCTCTTTTAGCTATGGCTGACACATTGCACATTCGTGGATTAGCTGATATAGCTGGGGTAAGTTGTCCTTAGCAAACACAATATGACAAACTGTTATCTAATTATTATTTAAAGTATTAGAAGATGAGAGACTCATATATCACGTACATGTTGAAGAAAGAGAGTTGCATAATACATCTTTTTTTGTCCACCTATCCCTCTCCCCCCCCCCTCTCTCTCTCTCTCTGTCTCTCTCTCTCTCTCTCTCTCTCTCTCTCTCTCTCTCTATATATATATATATATATATATATTGTATTTTCCAAATGTAATATATCTTTTTGGTCTCAGCCTCTAATTCTTCTTCTGGTATTAGCACTTGTGGCGTCACGCAGAGTACTTTATCAAAGTTTACGTACATTTAACGCTTTGGATATAATTGTGTAAAAGAAGTAAATATATACATATATAATATTTCTAGATATAAAAAAAGTATAGTTTGACGCGATTATATATATTACGTTGCAATATATCGAGAAATAAAGACTGTGATATTAATGGCGTGCTATTTGGTACTTAAAGGTAATTAGCATGAATAAAAACACTTAATCTTGTTAATACACCTGCATTCGAGCGAAGGATTGCTTATAACAAGGCATGTATTTTGTAAAGATGCTGTTATAGAAGTCGGATTTCCCCTAACACGTGATTCTTCTTACTATTTTCTGTGTAAACACGTACTAAAAATTTTTATCTTTCATCTAGAAACACGTGTGCAAGTTTACGTACGAAATAACTATGGATACGCTCGCGCGTATGCTCGACAGTACGGCCAATACGTAATACATATATACATATATACACAGGCAGATCTTGTGCAACATTTTTTTCATTAACGAGTTGCGACACTTTAAACCACAATAGACTTCTTCTTTGTCCTTTTTTCTTTTTTATTAACACCGACATCACGCTAGACAGTTGTTTACGCATTGTATTATTTGATTTGACAGTATGTCCGTAATTACTCAGTATCTGATAAACGGTACCGCTTGTAAAATATTACATTTCGTATTACTACAATCGTAATCGATACTTTGTATACTACAGCACTTACATTACGCTATAAATTCATATCCCTGCAACATGCATGTGTGATGTCAAACATTGAGAGAATTGCAGAATTTTGCCACGATGTCTTTGTAAATATCTCGATGAAGATCTCAAAAGATTAATTCTTTGAGAATTATTCAGCAGATCGGAAAAAAAAAGAAGAGAGTAAAATCATGTTCGCTTGTTCCTTTCTTAATCTTCTTTATATTACCCTATGATCGTGTTGTTTTGTTCAGGTCACTTAAACACATTCACTGTCGTTCCTCAAGAAGTACTTCACGAAGGAATTATCCGCTACACATATTATGTTCGTACATGCATCGAGAAGGAACGATAATGAATAAAAAAACGATATCCACGAGATCAAGATCGTTGTGTGTGTTGCAACTAAATGCAAGTGGATGCATCCCATGGAACCTTACCCCATAGAATGACTTTACAGGTATATCTAAAATAGCTTCTTCCAACGAATTTCTAAATTACTAAACTGTTATTAGCGAAAGTTAGACGGCGATTTTATACAACACATATGTTTTCCGCAGTACAGTAATGCTTAACACTTTAGTCAAGTGTGGTGACGTAACAAACGTTTAGCATTAATTTGTAAAGGCCCAGGGGCATTAATGATCGGCAGCAGATATATGGAGAAAAAATTGCATGAGATACTTTTGGATAAGATAATTTTGCAGCAAATGAATTTTTACGAGTGCGGTCGGCGAAGCGACCCGTCCCGTGTACTTGAGCTGTTAGAATTCGACATTAGTTAGTATGTAACTCTGTGAAATGAATCGAAACTTGTCGAAAGAGAGCGGAAATTCTGCTGGAATAATTTTCATTTATCACAATGTATACCCGCGACGAATAATATCAAAAGTATGTCTCAAAGATTCATCATGCTAAGTATCCTTAAGTAATATTTTTCTTATATTCCATTTACTTTTATAACAAACAAATTGCACAAAAGCAAATGACTAGACGCGCAACCTGTTACAATTGTGACATTACAATGCAAAGTAAAAAGCCACAGTGCTTTTTTTTCCTTTTTTTTTTTCCACAAAGGTGGTTCATCGTTTTGTTGAATTTCAAAGGATTGGCCGAAATTCATACAGTCTACGTTATATGTCATTAATATCCACACGTTGGAATATACAATCATCATGTGAATTTGAAAGGACGAAAGGGTTTATATATTTGTGCGAATCTGTGCGAATAGCATTACGTGTATCATTACGATATCGTAAGTCCCAATATTTCCAGTAGACACACATAGATCAGATACATGACGCCGCACATAGTAAGACATTTTTTTATTATCACAGTTGATAGCGACATATTCCCCGAGACCACCGTCGTTGAGTTGTTTCTTTCTTTGACAAGAGGAAACACAGCGATCGTTTTGACCCAATTTACCTGATCCCGTGCGTTTGTTCTGTTTTTCATTTCAGAAAAACGCGAGGCGTGATAATAACAGCCTCTACGTGCAGCCACCGGTGGCGACGACACAGCCGCAGGAGAAAGTCTTGTCGAACGAGATGATGATAAAAAAGGAGTCGAAGGATAACAATGTCGCGAGTGTCGAATCGTCGATGGAATCGGTGTCCGCGCCGTTGCTGCCGGAGGTAGCGGATAACTTAGACGAGGAATCGAGCAACGATCGTGAGACTATACCGTATTGCGTAAAGACAAAACCCTATTACTCTATAAACGCGAAGCTAAATCAAAGGGAAAAGGTACCTGTCGTTCCTGCCAACGCGTCCACCGTGAACAAATATATCGATAAAGTGTACTCGGAGAGCGGAATGGACGAAACGACCGCGCTGCCGCCGCCACCACCGCCGTCGGCGCTCATAGAGGATCGATCGATCACGTCCGTGGTGGAGGATGTGAAACCACCGGCACCACCTCCGCCGGCGGTGTGGGACGCGAATTTCAAGTTTCTCGCAGCGTCCGCGCCTAGTAGGACCACCCCTCAAACCTACAACAAGTCCAGTGTCACTTGTCTCATTTGTGGCAAACAGTTGAGCAATCAGTACAACCTGCGGGTACACATGGAGACTCACAGCAACAGCTCGTACAGCTGCGCGGCGTGTTCGCATGTGTCGCGATCCCGAGACGCTCTCAGGAAGCACGTGTCGTACAGGCACCCGGTGACCCCTCCACAGAAACGTACACGTTACAGCGCGTCGAAACCATAAGAGTTTCTCTACTCGTGTTACCATAGACACTCTTAGGTCCCACGCTAGGATCTCCGGATCGAAGATTATGAATTTTGCCCGGTTGAGGTTTGAGGTGAGAGACAGTGAATGAGCGAGTGAGAGGGAGAGAGAAAAAGAAAAATATTTTATTAAATATATTGAATAAAAAGAAACGTATAGACACATACGCACATATATACATGTTATATATATATATATATATATGTTTTATCATATATATGTATATATATATATATAATATTAAACTCTAGAGACTAGACTAATGAGAAAGCTCATGGTACCTCAATTATTTCTGTAAGAGACATTCAGTACCGGACTGATTAATAATAAGACAGGTAATAACATCTTACTCTTTGCGCGTCAAGTGTACAAACGATATAGTAGAGGAAAAAAAGGCGTGATATGTTCCTGAAGACCCTTAGTGTTCGAATTGTTATCGTTTTCTTGTTATTGTTACACCGTTTTAATAAAGATGAATTAGATAACGGAACGAGTTGTGTGTTTCGTAGAATACGTCGACGATTGTGACGTGTTCGTGTTGAATCGAACGAAGAAAGGAAGAACGACTCACACGATTGCACAGGGTGTGACTTGTGCTCTAAGCTACAGTGAAAATAAAATACAAAAGGTATAAAAAGATTGCAATATAATTATTTTTTAATCATATATCAAGGATCGTATTAAAAAATAATATACAATATCCATATAGAGACTACGAAATAAATAAAATGCTTCCAAAGTTTGCAGTTTCCTTAATAGTGATAATAAATTCTTCAAAAAGTTAATTATATCTTTTGTATACGCCACATTTTAGTGTTGCAGTCCTGGCCGACCGAGATTAGCGTTTCCTCGTCCAGCCAGACCAAACGCGTTATTTGGCTTTGCGGATGAGCATCTGTATATATATATAAAAAAGAAAAAAACGTGAGTTTTTATTTATTTGTTATTTACGGATCCATATTATGCCGGGACACAGATTTGCCGAGACTTACTTTTGATGATAGTGTGTTTCGCCGGATTCGTCACGCTCCAGATGATGATTGTCGTGTCGAGACTGCCGCTTGCAACCATGTCAGAGTTTGGAGACCATGCGACAGAGTTCACTCTCGCGTTATGGAAGCCCCATTCTCTGTTGTGTGCAAGCTGCAAGCCGACGAATATACATTTCAAACCGCGTATCTTGAGTTTATTATATTTTGCATAATTATAATCGTACAGTTATCTAGAGAGCTAAAGTCGTACACTTATTTAGCTGGAGTTTTACTCACCCTCTGGCGATCCAATTAGCAGATAACAAGCCATTAATAATTTATTAAAAGTGCAAGCATCAATTATCACTTGATTTATACGTTGCTCTCGTTATTAGTGACGTTATTAGTGTGTGAAATATTAAGTGTGTACACAAATGGTTACTGCATAATAGTGAGCAAACGTGACTCAAGCGCATAAATTCATTACGAGATTATATTGCTATCGTTATTGTACAGAATTTCCCCGTTATCTACAGCGCGCTACCGATATGTTATCACGTCAAACGACGGTTACATACGAATCATTAACAATCGTACAACTTTTTACTCTACCTTGTATTCCGGCACACCGTACAGTATAACTTTTCTGTTAGCATCACAGGCGACTAGATATTTATTATCAGGGCTGTACGAGACATCCGTAATCGGGCCCAGGTGTTCTAGTTCAGTCTTTTGAGTTAGCGTGCTGTCCGACAGTTCGTAAATATGAACCTGTATACAAACAGACACATATTGCACAGCATATTGCAAACGATATCGTTCCAACGTTGTTTGCACCATACGCGCCTAGTAACTTTACATACTTTATTGTCCGATGTGCATCCGACAGCTACCTCGCCGGTTTCTTGATTGATCGATACACACGATGGCTCCTGATCGATTGACACACTGGACAGCTTTTTGCCGTTTTGTGTAACCGCAATCTATGGAAACATAACGTTGATACGCGACCGACCATTATTGCGTGTATCACAGTATGCATCACTTGCCTGTCGAACTGAAGTCACCACGACCATATCCTTATATATATCGAGGCCTCGTGGTTGCGAGTCCAATTTCACCACAGAAGTCTCTGCGTACGAATTTGTCGCTATGTCAACCGACCTCAAGGTATCGTCGATACCGGCGGTGTAGAGTAAATTATCCGCGGCCTTCATCCCGTTAATCTGGTTACCGTGACCGTGGCCTTGCACGCGGTCATTCTCCCCCGTCGTCGCATTCCAATTGGTGATGTAACCGTCGTGAGAACCAGTGTAAATGGTACCTCTATCGGGACTTAATGTTAGCACCGTTATTGGCTTATTATGACCCTGTGAAAAAATGGCGTCGAAGAAAGAGCATTAGAAAAGGGAGCTTGATTGACAGTTCGATGGGTAGCCGTGTGGTACAAGGAATTACTTTGATTATCCTTATAGGCTTCTGAGGATTGTCGACGTCGAGATAATTGATGAAACCGCTAAGCGACACGGATAGCAAGTATTTTCCTTGCCACAGGCAGCTCACCTGAAAGCACAAATGTCAATTTATCTCGCGTACTGTTGCCACGTACACTCTCAGCGCCGATTATACAAATTACAAACTTGTTGATCATCGACTGCTGGCCCCATGTTGAACTCGGTGATTAGAGTACGCGTTTCCACGTCCCACAGTTTACAAGTCTTATCTCCCGAAGCGGTTAACAACTGCGTGCCATCGGGTTTCCATGCAACCTGTAATTAAACGAAAAGTATTAGCCTTGTTTTACGGCACTTGGTAAACAACTCGTACTACTCTGCTACCATTTATAATACAGGAGATTGCAGGTTTAATGAGCAAAAATCCCTCCCCCCCCCCGTATACGTACCCCGTACACTCCACCTTGATGCGCAGGAGGCCCCAATTCTCCCACAAGATCAGACGTTACTCCATTATATATGAAAACCTTGCCGTCGAATCCACCGGAAGCGAACAGATTGCCGTCGGGTGAGTAACGTACGGCTTGAACGAAGCGAGTATGGTCTTGTTTAGTCATCCTGAACAAGAGCAGAGTATAGTAAACCCGTGTGAGTAAGAGTTGACAAGATATAAAACAAATGTCACAGATGCACGTACTTGAACTTGAACGGGGGCCCTTCGAACACGGCGATCGTGTTATCTTCGCTTCCAGTTATTAATCTAAACGGTCTCGCCGGTCGAAAGTCGCACGAGTTGATGGATTTACTCTGACCGGAGATTTCACCCACGGACGTTCCCGTTTCCGCCATGAAGACATGTCCGAATCTAAGCAGAATTATTCACGCGTTAACGAATTAAATTCTACTCGTTATGTCACATTATTTAAGCTGCTTCTACTTTTCTCTGCCTTCTCCGACCACAACCATGCGCTGACTATCTGGTGACCAGGCAATGTCTTTGATGGGCCCGCCGATTGAGTGGTACTCATTTTTTAATATATGTTCTTTGTTAACTGTATCCCAGATACGTACTTTACCTGACTGATCTGAAATAAAACGACCGGTACCATAACGACATAGTCTCTCAATTTTACAGATGGGAACATTACTAGCGTCACAATATCGCACGTACCTCCTGAGGCTATATAGAAACCACTAGGGGAATATTTGGCAACAATCACAGAGCAAGAATGTTCTGTATAGACATCTGCAATTGCTGGATTCTACAAAATATTTAGAAATATTAATCTAGAAATCTAGAAATATTAATTTAGAAATATATGCGTATGTACGATTGGAGAATATTTGTCACAGAGTTGAAACTCACATCGATATTTCGAATGATAACACTGTTGCCATTAGTGTATAAAAAATTCTCCCCCTTGGGATCACCTCCTAATACAAGAGGTTGGCCTCGTTGAGTCCTTGGTAATGCGGCAAATATATATTCTATAATGCACAAGGTAAGAGCAAAATGAGAAGAGAGAAAATCTTTTCTTCCTCTGAGAGGGGCTGATAAAGTTTCTTGAAACATATGATTAAAATCTTAAATAAGAGGTAAAATGATGGAATCTATTAATAGTGGGAGAGATCAAATGACACACAAACAACGCGCATAATGTATCCTGGTGCTGGAACTAAAATATCCTTCCTTGATACATTGGCATGGGTCCAGTTTCTATCTCATATTATTTTGAGCGCTAACAAGCTGCACTATATTTTGCATCATATAATTTTTTCGCGTTTTCTAGTGGCAGTACTATTGAAAAATTTTTCTAATAAATTACAAATAAATTAATAAGAAAACTCAATAAGAAATGGATTTTTTAAGAAGATAATTTATCAATGATTTATATTGCACTTTGAATGATGTACATAAACTAGATACATCGTTATAAACATAGATTTAGATGTTCTTTTTATTAAAAACGTAGGTGTGCGAGTACCTTTTTCAAATATCTTTATGACATCAGCACTACAAAATTTCGCCTTATCTTATTTGTCTGTCTGATAGTAGCACAGCAAACACACCAAAAATGTGTTTCTTATCTAACATCCTGTCAGACTTTGCCAGTCGATATCTGTCGCGAATCTTTTCATTTACCACGTATACAGAGAGTCTATCTAGAAGAAACGTCGACATGAATTTCATCTGTGAAATTCAATTAAAATGTCACACAATTTCCGGTCACCCAGTATACGTGAGTTGACAATAGTACACGCGTCCGGCGTATCGTGTCATACGATACGTTTGTCACTCGAGTGACAATTAGGGGAAAAAGGAAGAAACCTCGTCGATAAATAAATGCAAAAGAACCGAGAGTCTCGAGCTTGACTTTCCTGGCGTGCCGGTCCCGTTGCGCTGTAACGGCAACTTTTCACAATATCACCGGAGATAAGCAAACCGGAAAATTGGAATGAGAGAGATATCGCTCCGTCAGCAGGAGGAATCGTACGGTAAAAGTCACACAGGCAAGGCGATACGCGAACGAGAACGTTCCATGCGTTCACCGTGCCGCGACTTACTTGTCTCATACATCCCGCCGGCAATCACCTCTCCGATGTTGTCCGATAATAATTAACGAAACCGATCAAAGCGAGTCGATGCAACGTCCACGACGGTATATGTATGATAGCTTGACGGACGACAGCACCTCCCACACTCTCGCGCCTGCAATACTTGTTCCGCCCTTCGCCTTATTTGGTTGAAGCACGAGTCGCGCAGTTGCTAGATCGTAACAAGTGCAGCTCAGGGCAACGTTCCTACCGAGAGATCAGGGAACTGAGAACCCGCTTCTGCAGCTGCACTCTCCGTGCAGCAAGTGCAGCAGAGCGTGCAGCTGGATGAAGCGCGTAATCATCATCGGTTCTGCCTCTCTGCTTCTGGTTCGTATCTAAATATTCATGCATCGTATCCGACTTATTTCCGTCCTCTCGGAGAAAAGAACGAACAAGACTGTGTTGTCGGCGATGCAGCGATCTCGCCCGACCGCTAGTCTCTTGCGCCATCTGCATGAACCTCGAGAAAAAAGTGTACAAAGTACACAACCCGTGAACACATTTTTTTCGCGTAACATACGACCGTTCATTGGAGACTTTGGAATCGTCGTGTCGATTGATTTATTCGAAATACCCGACGACTCCGAATCTAACTATCGCAAATTTTTAACTTTCCAGTGTGACTTTTCGAAAAGAACAAACGGGCACGGTGATTGGTCGGCCGGTGCCGCATCGCGAGCGCTACGTGGTGGGCGTTTCGCGAGTCAACCGCGGCGACGTTCAAGTGAATCGTAAAACGGAGCGGATGCGGGCTTGCGATTCAGAAAATCGTCGTCTTGTTTTCTGCTATTTTGCTTCACAGCAGGTGAGTTAGCGAGCAAATCATTATCAAATATAATAATCGCGCACATCTGACATCGAGCAGTCGTCGCGGAAATGAATTCTCTCGCGAAATGAGCTGCCGAATGCGTGCGAGGCTCGATGGATTATGATTCGCGAAGTACGGCGACCGAATCGCCACCGACCGGGCAGTGCGAGTTTTCACGTGAATTGTCGTCGGAAGCAGCGATAAATAAATCTCGTGCATCTTTCGAGATGAAACACGTCAGGAAACAGTCGCCTCGAAAATATTCATCGCGTAGTAGTTAGTCGCGCGCGCGTATTTCGATAATCGTAACCGCGCGACATGGCGCCCGATTGCGAGCCGGTCGCGTCCGAATTCAGTCGTTTCACAATTTCCGCGATCTCTGTCTCGGGATCGTCGGAATTCAAATCGTCGGCTTTGCATTCTCATCTGCCGAGACAGACAATTCTATCGTGTCGCAAGTAAGAGTCGAAAGTATCGTAGATTTCGCGCAACTTTTTAGACGCGAGAAATTATTAAGCGGTCGTTGAAAGCACGATCGTTTGCCTCGATCGGTACGTAGCCGAAAATACGCTTTCGCGCAATGTGACGTGTCTTTGCTCATTCAGTAATTAATCGGAAGTGTCTCGAGTGAAGTGCGCGTCGGTACTTCGATAATCGCAAGCGCCGCAACATTGCGGCAGTTCCGCGCGGCGGTCGCGGCGCGCCATTATTCACTTCCGGAACATCGCTCTGTGCTCCTCGCGATCTCGACTCGCCGAAAGCGAGTCTCGCGCGCGAATAATCGTCACCGGGAGTGCCGAAAATGTGGCGTAGCGAAACATCGCCAAGCATTTCGCGGAACGATCCGCCGGGAGTGTCGAAGAAACTATCGTAGCGTTCTGGCGATGCAGAGAGTTGAAGTTGTCGCGTCTCGTATTTATTATCGGGATTATGTCGCTCGGAGAGTTATGGGGTTATAGAAGGGAAGGGGGGTCATGTCGGAAGTGCCGAACAAAGTGCCGCGCGTAGTCCAAGAGTTTGATCGGCTCACCCCATATCACCGTCAGCAGGAAGTTTACCGATTCAAGTTGCTCGTCGCATCGTCGGGCCAGTTTGGACGTTGAGTCGTCTAAGGTAGACGTGAGTAAAACAAAAGTAATATTTTGCATGTTCAATTCGCGAGCTTTTACTCGCGAAAGTAGATATGCAAGGAGAACAATTTGTCCGCAATTTGTGCGCGGGCGTGCACCGTCCATTTATTAGACATAAATATTTATTCAAGAGATACGAGAGTGCATTGCACTCTCATCAATTGTACTTTCACTTTCGCGTATCGTGCGTGAGTTTCGAGAAACGTAGAAATGCGTTTAATGGGTGCATTACGCATCGGCTCCGTGTACCCGTATACGCATGTTTATTCAATGTCCAGAGTACAAAAATAGCGTACAAAATTGCGGTACAACTCGCTTCTAACGCTTTCATCTGCTCTATTGTATGCGTTTTTGTACAACGCGCGATGCTTAAGTATACATTATTATCAAGTCAAATATAAATTCTAATATTACATATCGCTAAAACCAAACAATAATATTGAATTCGTAGCGTGTTCGTAAAAAAGAAAAAAAATATATACACATACTTTGTGCTCCGTAATTGGCGGCGCAACAAAGATAACAAAGTTACCCCGTTGCGTGCCGACAATTATCAATCAAACATGCATATTTATGCATACATTTATTAGGCACCGCGTTAGTCTCAATTTATCACATTTTCTTATCCGTACGTTAATCTCGCATCGAGTATATATTACGATTGTGCTTTATCACACACTTTACTAGTTCTATCCATCTCATCGATATCGTATACAAGGTGTGTGAGAAATCCCGGAGACGGAGAGATATCTCGGAAATCTTGCGAGTTTTCCAAGAAAAGCTTTCAGACAGAGTTAACTTTTGTCGCGTATTCTTGTAGCCGTTCTTGAGACTTTCGGATCTCCAACTTTTGTCTGAAACATTTTTCTTCAACTTGCATCTTCCGAGGTATCCCTCGCCGCCCCGGAACGGATTCGATGCACCCCCTGTGTACCTGAAATTACAATCGCGACGACTGCATCGAGTAGATCAGCAAGATTTATCAAATCATCAACGAACAATCGCAATCGTCATGTGCAACGCGAACGTCACGTGACGTTGGCTTTCTCTGCTCGGTCAGCTGTCCGCGTGTGTAATTTACGTAATTAATCGCCGACGCGATGTACCGCGGTGATTTCCGAAGGAGCAACGCCGAGCTCACGGCCGTGTCGTGAGACCTTAATTGCGAAATATACATTGGACGATCATTTAAGGTGATACAGCGTACGGTATTTTGCAGCGAGGTATACCGGTTCCCTTGTAGCGAAGTCCGCCGTGCCGCGGATTCGCGATCGACCGCCGCGTGCGTTGCCGGCGGGCTCTTCTCTCCTTCTTCCGGCTCTCGAGGCGCCTCGTCGTCGACCTTCTTCTTCGCGGAAGTCGCGCAATCTCGCACATCGACGCGATGAAATAAATAGCAAATGAATGAAATTAAATAAGTGACAACTGAATGATATTCATGGTCGGCGATTATTCGCCTTGCCGTCGTCCCGGCGTACGATCCTACGAACGTATCCTTCACGGACGCGCTCGTTATCCGAGGAAGATCTAATTGCCGACCAATCGTCAAGCTAGCGCGGCCGCCGCGCCGCGTAAATCACGGGGGGAAGGGGGCAGGGGGACCCCTCTCGCCTAGGCGTCTCATTCCCCGCGTGTCCTCCGCGCGCAACCGCTCTCGTCCTTCGTCTCGGCGACATCTTCTCGCGGAAGGTCCCCCGTCGTCGCGCGGCGAGACCTCGGGATCATGCACACACGCTCCTCCCCCGGCCACGAAGACCCCACGGGAGGCCTCCTCGTCAGTAGTAACCGGCGCCTCGCAGACTCGCCCTTCTCTCGTAGGGTAACGGCCCTCCGCGGAAGCGCACCGCCAGCTGTTGCCGAGGGCGCTCTTCGCCGGCTAGCACCTCCTTGCCGCCCTTCCCGTAAAACGAGCCGCCGCTGTTGGCCTCGATCTCCTCGACGGACGGCAAACGGGAGAACCTCAGCTCGTCCACGTCGTCGTCGCGCGGCAGCGGGCGCGCCTGATCCTCCGGAACCGGCCGGCCGTCCGGGTACACTCGTATCACCATCGGCCCGACCAGGTACGGCCCGCTGTGCTCCGCCGCCGACGGCACGTAGTCGCTGTTGGCCATGGTCTCTTCGCCAAGACCGTTGGTCTCGCTGCCGCTGCTCGCTGAAACGATGGAACAACCGGACGGTCAGAGAGAGAGAGAGAGAGAGAGAGAGAGAGAGAGAGAGAGAGAGAGAGAGAGAGAGAGAGAGAGAGAGAGAGAGAGAGAGAGAGAGAGAGAGAGAGTCTCGTTAACAATCGCGGTAGCATTTGGAAATTCACGTCGCTTTGGTCGCGAGGGATTGGCCAACCGTGCCGACTCGCAGATTCGCCCGTCGAACTTCCCGCTTCGATCCTTGAGCGCGGCTTGTTCGTTTGTCCGGAATTCGAGATAAAGGATTTCGAGAGGCGCACGTGTGTCTACTCGCGGCCTCCGTATTATGATAATTCGGCCGATTCATCCGGCGCCGCAACTGCGCGTCCACGCGATTCGTTGCGATTCGACAGCAAGACCAGCCGTCGTCGGAGTGCTCGCGGAGGCTCTCGTTGCCGAGAGTCGAAGGAACTCGATAACGAAAGTCCAGGTGTCGGCCCGTGCATCGGGCGTTCGTGCGAATGATATCCTTGGCCTTTCGCGGCTCGACGAAAAGGCGCACGCGATCGATGGCCGAGGTCTGAAATCGGGTGCGGGAAATCGGACAATTGCGTGACCGCTCGCGCGCGGCTTTCGTCGCGTGTCGATACGTCATTAGCGTACGCGTTAGCGTATATATAGGCCGCAGAGAAAATGTGAAAGCCATCGCGCTCGCGCCGAGCACGCCGTCTCTCATCGCCGACATCGAGAAAACTTTTGACCTCCTTTCGCGACCTGTCGCGACTCTCTGAATATAAAAGCGGAGGTCCGAGAACGGCGTCGCTCACCTGGCGAATCTGCTCCGGTCGTCAGGTAGGATTCGTCGGCCGACTCGTGGCTGCTTCTCGAGGAGAATCTGCTGCTGCCTAGCATGGCGCGCCAAACTGTAATCGAGAGACAAAGAGCTTGAAAAACGGGGTCGCGCGCGCGTCGAAGTGGACCGGCGCTTTCCTTCTCCCTTTCGCTCGTTCTTTTATCGCGCCCCTTTCTCGCCCCCGATCACGCCGGTACTTCCTTCCGCCGGTACTCACTCATGTCTCTGGCGCCGCGCTGGTAAGGGTCCAGCTTGTCGAGCACGCTGTCTTCCATGCCGGCGAGGTTCCGCACGCCCGACACCAGCAGGTTTTTGTTGCAGTCCGGCCTCGACGAGTCGGCGCAAAACCGTGCCACCTGCTTGCTGAACAGCTCGTACAGGTGACTCATCTGAAACGAGAAAGGCGCGGGCTGTTTAGACTCCCCTTCGGCGACTCGCCGGCCGAATCGGGCCGCGCGCGCGCGGTGAAACTCGCTAATGTGTAACGAGCGAGCGACGGAACTGATAGCGGCAACTTTTGAAGCAAGCACCGCGTATGCGTATACGTATGCGCGACATCCCCGTCAGTCACGTGGCCGCCGAGGATCGCTGGAAGTTGCCGGCGAGACCGACGTCCACGTGCATCGCGAGGCGGCTTTTTTCTTTTTTGTACGACCGACATCGCCGAGCGGAGTTGTCGCGCCGTTCGCGTTTCGAGCGCGATTCCGGAAATCGGGAGAAAGCGGAGGGATTCTCTCGGCTGTGCGACGAATTAGCGCGGAAAGACAATGAGCATATGTTGTAGTTCGTCGTGCAGCCGGAGGTTCGCTTTTACGCTCCGCGCGCTCTGCTCGCTTTCGGGATGATCGTTTGGGATTTCCGCGCGGGCATCGCGAGGATGTCGTCGGGGAAATCGCTTAATCAGCGCGCAGCAGGGGAAAAACGCGCGCTGTAATTCCGACGGAACTGGCGGCGAGAAGCCGCGCCATTCCAGATACGCCGCGGTGCTCTTGAACTTCGAGACTCGCCGCTTACGTGCGCGATCGCTTTTACTCGCTCTGGCTGTTACGCGTTTAAGCCGCGCGTGCAGCCTTGACCAAGAGCACGGAACACCTTCGACGGCGCTCTGCCGCGTTGATGAAACCGGCTAGTCGGCGGCCGCTAATTAAACTCGCGCATCGGCCTCGGTTTTTGCGGTCGCGAAGCTGAGGCGAGATCCGTATCGCGGTTGTACGCACGCCGTGAAAATCAATTCCGCTCGGCGTGGGCTTTCTATCGAGGAGATTTTTCCCGGAGAAGTCCGCGAGAGAACTTTCCCACCCCAGAGAGCGAACATCGCTTCCGGCCGCGAGCGCGGCGGCGGACTATAGGCGGAGATAGGCGCTCCTCGATATGTATCGAGTCGGGATTTTCCAGGCGCGAAGAGCCGCGCGAAGAGTCTCGGCGAGACGCAATCAGCAATTGTCCCGGCAATTATCCGCGTGCTTACAAGTAAACCTCGGGGAACGTCAGACGCCGATTTGTTTCCAATCTTTTATAGTTACTTTTCATGTCAAAATATGAAGAAGTCTGTTATCATTTTTAGCTTAAATTAATTTTTTCAATTTTTTCGAAATTTTTCAAGTTTTGCACAAGTATTTTATTTTATACATATTTTATACATATTTAAAATAATATTTCTTAAAAATATATATATATCTGATTTGTTGAAACTTGCACATACATGTCACCGATTATGAATCAGAACCATTTTGTAAAATTCAAAATAGCGGATCTAATATGGCTGACGTCATTGTTGAAAAAGTGTTCAGTTTTACGCTACATTCGACGTTGGGTAATCTTTCGGCTCACTATCCAGCAAATAAGCTCATTTTAACGTCAAAATCTGACAAAAAATGAACAAGAAATGAACAAAAAACGAATGAACAGGAAACTTCAGAAATTTCGAAGAAATTGAAAAAATTAATTTGAGCTAAAAATAATAACAGATTTCTTTATATTTTGACATTAAAAATAACTATAAAAAATTGGAAACAAATTCGGCGTCTGACGTTCGCCGAGGTTTACTTGTTACATTTCTACGACGAAGGGTGGAAAACCGACGGCCGGCTGTTGTCGACGACGATCGAGCTGATCCGAGATCCGAGGAACGCGAGGCCCTTTCCAAGCCCGTTATGCGTCAGATTAATCGCGTTATCGGAAAAGTGACTGGGGGGGGGGGGCGATTTCGCCGTGCATGATCGCTCGCGCGCGCAAGAGATGCGACAAATTGAGACGCGAGGTTGCGACAATCCGTGCCGACACGCCCGGCATGTGTTTCGGATGCAACGCGCTGCGCGCATCGAACTCGCTCGATTGTTCGGTGAAAGTCCGCACATATGGCCGATACTGCGCGAAGAGACACCTCGTGTTTGCGTTCGTGAACAATAAGGCGGAATCGAACAATGAGATTCTCAGCGGCCGCGGGTGGCTGGGATAAAATCCGAACGCGTCTCTTCCGCGTCTCGCACCGTTTCCCGTTTCAGAAAACTCTCAAAGGACACTTGCGATCCTTGCGATTTGCGACTGGACGACGCCGACGGCTGCGGCTGCGGCTCCGCGAAAAGTATCTCAAGAGCCGACGCGAGATTCGGATCCGCCAATGTCGGATCTCGGAAATGGCTCTTTGGAAATGGCGCAAGTCTGGTGTCTATCGATCGCGCTCATGTTTGCGCGAGACGATCGGCTACTCACTTTCTCATCTCTCGAGAGAAATTCCCACATCGGTATCGCCGAGCCGGTGGCTCGCATCATCACGCAGCCCAGCAGGATACAGCTGGTGAGCCTCAGAGTCAAAGTTCCACCCGTCATCATCCGCCCTTTCTCCGTCTCCGTCTCTCTCTCTCTCTCTCTCTCCGTCTCTCTCTCTCTCTCTCTCTCTCTCTCTCTCTCTCTCTCTCTCTCTCTCTCCCTCTCTCTCTCTCTCTCTCTCTCTCTCTCTCTCGACTCTTTTCCTCCTCGGCTTTTCACGCCTCGACTTCACACGCCTCTTCGTACACGGCTCTGTCGTATCACTCGCGTGCAGCAACAGCTATCGTGTGTTGTCACAAACAACAAGGAGAATCTCGCTCGAGTCCGTGGCAATCGATCGCCTGGTGAGCACTGAGCCTCGATCTCGTTTGCCGCTTCGTTTTATGTTCGCTTGCACGCCGATGACGACGACGAGCACGAGAGTTTCGTCCCCACTATCCGCCGGCCGCTCGACACCATCCGGGTTTCTTGTAACGTCAGTACGAGGAGGAGCAGAGTCCACGGATCCGGAACGTATTTACACGCTCTAGGAAATCGCCGGCGCGACACAAGTATGCAGCAAGCGCAAAAAAGAGGCTCCTTAATTTTATTCGGCGCCGCGGAGCCGAAATTCCTTGCGCGGCAAAATAAACGCCCGGGGAAAGTCCGCGGCTTTTCTGTCATAATGTAGAGTGAGAGACGCGAGAGGGAGAGACAGGAAGGGTTTCCTGCGTTATCGCGCTGCGCCCAGTTCGCTCGTTAGCGAACTATATATATATATATATATATATATATATATATATATATAGTTATATAGTGTATATATATATATATATTATCTTTTACGCGCTGCTATTTATTACTTTCTTAAATATAAAGTTGCGCGCTCGCACGTGCGCCACGCACAAACACGCGCACGGGGACGCACACGGACGCGCGCAGGCACGCATAGCGAAGAAGCGTCGGATTCCTTTTTCGCTACAAATTCCCGGCCGATTTCGGAGCGACTTTTCGTCAACGAAAATGTCAAGGCTCCGACAATATCCGGATAATTAACAATTGAAAATGAGCCCCCTATCCACCGGCGCGTTTTAATTCTTTATAAATCTCTTTAAATCTCGTGAGTGACAACACGACGCGTTCGCGATTGATCTTGACTCGGATTTTAACGAAAAATTGTGGAAAGATAAGAATAAGAGCAGAACGCGCGCAGGTCGCGGAGAGAAAGAGAGAGGGAGAGGGAGAGAGGTGTTTTGCAAAATGCTTCTCTCGCGCCGCTAAAAGTCCCGTCGCCTCCCGTCGCGTTAGACAATCGTTTCGATTTAGTTCCGAGGTAGAGGAGCGCTCGCTCCGCGGAAGATTTGTCTGAAAAAGGGCTCGACCTTGATACGGCCGGTTCTTCTACCTCATCATGCTCTTAGATCGCATTCCCCAGCGGGGCTCAACGGCCGGAGGACGAGAGAGGCAAGCCGGCAAAGCCGACAGACGGATAACGAATAACGAATGAGGAATACAACGTTTTATCTGCGAATGTAGAATAATTTTTTACCGAGGCGAAAAAGTTATTTTCGTGCGGCGCGAACAAATATTAGAATCTTATCCGCGGATCTGAGGATAAAGAAGAGGAAGGTGCCCTCTCCCCCTTCCCGCCCGCCGCCGTCGATTATTTGCCAATGCCGAAATTGCGACAACTAACGCGCGTGGATTAATGCGGACAATAAATAATTTGTCGCGATAAATAACGAGCAAACGAAGCGACGGACAATGCGGAACGATGAATAATGCATGCGAACGAATGAAATGTTATATTCGGACGACGAAATTGAACATTTATGTGTGAAAGTATAACTTTTTTTTACCCCACAGCCGCTGTCGCGGCGCTTTTGCAGCGCTTTTACAACGACCGAATGATTTTTTACGCAATCGCGCGCGTTTTCCGAGATTAAACCGATAAAATATATGACGCATGATCTTGTTGAAAAGAGCCCGCTACTCAAAGTACGTCAAGCTCGGCGATATTTCGGGCAGCCGGCTCGGCTCAGCGCGGCGGGCGGATGCGTATGCATTCACTAGGAAAAATATATTGTTGCGTGAACCAAAATTTTGTTGTAACAACAAAATAATTTGGTTAAAATATGCCCAACAAAACTGTTTAGTTCTTGTAAACAAACATCTTGTTTGATTACGGTTGGTTCATATAACGTAATACTTTTGTTATAGCAACCGAAAAGCTTTAACTATGTGAATTTTGTTAAAAATACTATAACTTTTTCTTAATATATAAAATCTAAATTTTAGTGCAAGAACAAAATCATCTGGTCCCGAGAACAAAGCAGAAAAATATATCTAGTTGAAACAACTAAATATTTTGTTATATAAAACAAGATATTTGGTTGCTATTAAAAAATGCCACAACTAAACATAGTTTTGTCGGAGATAATAAATTTTTTTTCCTAGTGTTGTATCATCGCCGCGATGAAATGCACATCGGGGACGGTCGGGCGAGTGCGTGCGTGAGCGCGGTACCGATTGAAAGAGCGACATCGATTGCGCGCGCGATCGTATCGCGGGGAAGGCTGTGCCGCTGCACATGAAATGTGTAATTCGTAACAGCTCGCGCCAGCAGACGCATAACGCCCGTTGTTATTCATTCACCGTGCGCGCGCGCCGCACGCGAATCAAATTTGTGTACATCATTTCCCAATTTCACTTTCACATTCGTCCCTTCCCGTGCGAATGACCGGCCGGTGCGGGTGCGCTCGATCCGAATCGATCGGTCGACCCGCTCGCGATCGCTCGCTCTCCCGCTGCGCTCCTCATTCATCCCGGCTCACAAGATTCGGCCGAGAACGTTTTAGAAGCGTGATTCCAAGCGGAAAGCCCAAACGGAGCCGTACGTTCTCTCGAGGTTCTCTTTTTTCCCTTTTTTTCATTTCTGTCTTTTGTTTGCGCGGAGTTGCCCGTGCGATTGTCACGCGGGCGTCGCACAGCAGTGGAACGTTTGTACCACAAAGTTGGCCAAAATTATTTTTAAACGAATTTCGGTTTAAAACGTGCTACTAATTATATATATGATCATTATAAAGATTTCGTATAAGTTTTTCATGAAATAAAGTGCAAATATATATATAAAAATAATTTAATAATTAAGAAAGCATAATAATTAAGAAAGCACATCAATAAGTGTTCTACTACCTCTAACTACTAAGACAAACTCTAAATTTCTTCATCTAACGGGTGTATTCTATCCTCAGAATCAACATCATTTTCATCTATTGAAATATTTCCTCTTCTTCAGTGAGAAGAAGCACATTATTCAAGCATATATTCAATGTTTCCTTTAAAAATGGTTTAGATTTCTTTTTTGATATGGGTCTCATATTTGTTAGTAACGGATCAGAACTTAGTAGAAGTCTGTTGATTATGTCTATATTACAAAAGGAAATAAAAAAAAAACAAAAAGAAACAAAAGGAAACTTCATGTCTAAATAACCTTTGGACAAAATTTAATTTACGTTTAGGGAAACAAAAATAATTACTAAAAATACATCCGCGGTTTTCCGCGGCTAATTTTTCCTGATATTTTATCCGGAAAGATTACTCTTTCATTTCATCCAAGAAACGTAACAGGGATATACCCTGAAGTATAACTAAATCTTTCGAGTTTGACATCGAGAACGCAAAAAGATACACTATTGAATGTTATTTTCAAAATCGTATAAGTACGTGAATAACAATTCAATTGCAATAAATATAGTCTAAAACGTTCCTTCATACACTAGGAAAAAAAATTTAGTATCTCTAACAAAACTGTTTAGTTGAGTAAAGCATTTTTTAATAACAACCAAATATCTTGTTTCATATAACAAAATATTTAGTTATCTCAATTAAACATATTTTTCTGCTTTGTTCTCTGGACCAAATGATTTTGTTCTTAGACTTCATATATAAAAATTAAGCATTTTAGTTATTTTATCCAAAAAAATTACATAATAACGAAATATTACTTTGCATAAACTAAAATAATGCCCAACGGATACTGTTTTGTCTTTCTGTGCACTAACATTTAGATTTTATATATTAAGAAAAAATTATAATATTTTTAACAAAATTCATATAGTTAAAGCTTTTTAGTTGCTGCAACAAAATTATTACGTTATACGAACAAACCGTAATCAAACAAGATATTTGTTTACAAGAACTAAACAGTTTTGTTGGGCCATATTTTAACCAAATTATTTTGTTGTTACAACAAAATTTTGGTTCACGCAACAATATATTTTTCCTAGTGTACCTCCCTCGAAATAATAACGACTACGACTACGAAATACGGCGTAACGAAAAATTTCGTGCTGCCACTTCTAAGAACCTTAAAATTCTGACCGTAGATCGTATATTATAAAGCACTGACAATTGATGCGTGCAATATGAATAATGTCGAAATTCCGACTAACCAAACCACTTCATGTCATCGTGGATAAACAAAAGCACAGCGGCCCATTATTCCACAGACCAAGACAGTCATTCATATAGAGCAGGAATAATTTTAAGAAAATTGACTTTTGGCCATCTTTTCAGGCCAAACGTCCCACTGTGCGTCCGCTTAAAAATGCGCTCGTCGCAAAGCTACGCTCGCGCGGGAATCGATCGATTCTGACATCGCGCGGCAAATATGGACAAGAAACGATTCACACCGCGCGCGTCGCGCTCGGATTGTGTCATTCTGCTTTCCAATTCAATTAAACGCACGCATGGCCGACCTCGATGTCGTTTCGCTACACGCGCGCTCGGTGTTCCCTCGCTCGTGTGTTCGACATGATCGGCGTGGAAGGATATCCGTCGTGACGATCGGCCACTTCGATCTTTCTTTCTTTTCCCTTTTTTATTCTTGTCGCGCTTTGTCCTTATCCTTTAGCCGCTCTGACTTTGCGCGCTGCGCAAGCGTGAGGTCAAGGGACACCGACGCGCGCTGACGGCGCGTGTTAATTGGCCGATGGCCAATTAACAGAGTCACGATCGAGCAAGCGCGGTTCCGCTCTGCGACGGAAGACTCGCCGTCGATCGGCTCGCAACGAGGTAGAAAATAATTGATAATTCCGTTGAAGCGAAGACGTGGATCCTCAGTCGGATCCTGCCGCGCGCGCACTCGACGGGACCGTTATCCCTGATTACTCTCGAGTGAGATTCCCAGCGATTTATCGTGCCGAGGAATTCCCAAATCGGCGCCGAAGGCGTGATTAAGCGAATTCCACGCGCGTTCGCGTCGCGCATCCCTCTAACGGTACCGTCCCCACGCCCGGAGAAAGGACCCCTCCTCGCGCCTCGCCTCGGTTTAACGATATTAATTACGTCATGGCGCAGGATCGACGGCGCAGAATTTCACGGATCATTACGTAAAAAAAATGGTTCGCACGCGAATGCCCGACGATACGGATTCTCCCTTCGTTCTCTCGGCGGCCGAAGCTCGTGGTAACCGGAAGAGTCGCGCTGGAAATCCGATGAAGCCGGGCTTTCGTCATCGCTCGCTGCTACGCACGCGGCGAATTGTTTACATAATTATTTACCGAGGAAAGCCCTGCGTCGTGGAGGATGAAAATCTCGCCAAGTGTGTTTTCCATCTCTTCGCGACGTTTCATTTATCGCGATTCTTTTCGAGTATTTCTCTCTTGCAACTTTCTGTAACAGCAGTTGAATGAAAAATGTTCCTTTGGGGGGAGGGGGAGGAAACATACTTGGCGTCTTTTTTACATTTATTTATTTATTTATTTGCAGGAAAATTTACAGAAAACTTACGATACCGGCAAGCTGTACAAATAAAATGGCAGAACCTGCACAAATTGTAACGTTATATATACGGTGTTAAATTTCAAACGTAACAGATCGAATATCTCGAAAACTGAGCGCGATGGACGAAAATGTTTCGGACAAAAGGTGTAGGGTTTCGATAATTGCATCAAACGGCGATACTCGTTTGGCTTTGAGAGCAGTTATGAAGGTGATCTCAAGGTCCACTTAAAAATCTTAGATGGAAATCCCCATTTTTTGTTGCATCATCTCTTTTTACCAATAAATTTGAACGACTCTTGTCTGAAGCATCGTTTTACTTGTCCAATATTTTTTGAGATATTTAAGGAAAACTTACTTGGAGGAACTTGTCTGGAGAAAGAAAGAGAGAGAGAGAGAGAGAGGGAAAGAGAGGGAAAATGATCGAGAACGGTGGGAACGGAAAAAATGCCGAAACCTCAACTCGAGGCTGCGATTAGAACCCGCTTGCAATCTTTCCGGATTGATCGGATCGACCGCACCGCAACGGTTGCATCATGCAACTTTAACCGCGGTAACCGAGGCCCGAGGATTCGACGCATCTCTCGGACGCTACGGTATCGCGCGATTCGCAACGCTGATTTTTCCGCGCAACAACGAATCCGCCGTCCATCGGTCGCAACGGGACCAACGGCAGGAGGACGAGAAAGCGGAAGTGCACGCGCGGTCGCGAGCGAGAGAATGAAAATCGCTTCCTGATTCGCACGAGCTTTATTAGGGCGTTGCGAGCGCGCATAAAGCACAATTAATATTCTAATCGCGGAGAGCAGCGATAATGTCGCCCTCGCCTTTTGATCGAGATTAATTTCACCCGGGACATTTTTATTGTTTTATTAGTCTCCAACATTGGCGATTGACTTGGCAAACCACTTGGCGTCGTTGTGTAAATTTGAGTAATTTTTGTGAAAAATTTCAAGCTGGTCGCTTGGTAGCTCAATGCTAAACAGCGACAAGATATTTTCAATGTATATGTATACACGGTGCATGTTGAATGTCTTTAAATGGCCAAATTTAAAGACCGAAACGACAAGAATGTCTCTCCCGTATACTTTCGCTTTAAAAGTCGAGAGATTTCCGCGCGTTTCCCGCTGGTCTCTGTTTGCGCAGCTCAGACGCTCGCAAACTGCGCGTGCAGCGTTCCGGTCGACGCAATCGTTACCGGATAGCCAGGGTTTCCCGGACTCGAGCTGATCGATGATCCGGCGTCATTCAAACACGAAGACCGAGTGAAATCGCTGCGCCTTGACGCAAATCGCAGAGAGAAAGAGCGAGAGAGAGAGAGAGAGAGAGAGAGAGAGAGAGAGGGAGAGAGAGAGAGAGGAAAGAGAAAAAAGGAGAGACGAAAAAAGGAACAGCGGGATGGAATTCCAGTTTCGGGCGGACATGGTTTCTCAGCTCTCGCGCGGAATGCGGGAGTCCACGTGCGGGGGCAACCAAACGCGAATTCCTGCGTAATTTGCCGGGTCGTCGCACCGTGAACCCAATGACGAGTGACGCGACGCGACGCGACGCGACGCGACAATGCTGCCTCACCGCGCGGGAAAGCGTTACGGCGTTTACGATTTCCTGAAAACTCGCCGGACATCAGCATTGGCTCGACCTTGGGCGAGCAGGCGGCGTAATTTACGTCGAGGACAACGATTAAAAAAAAAAAAGTGGAATAAAGGAGCGCGAGTTCCGGATGGTCGACGGTTGTGTGTGTGTGTGTGTATGTGTGTGTGTGTGTGTGCGTGCGTGTAATTACGGTCGTAATTCGCAGATGTTAAATAACACGAGGACGGCCGAGACGAAATTACGGTGGCAGGCTTTCGCGAACGGACGGTGGAGTCGCGCGCCGCGCGCTCGGAGGAATGCGCGAAGAACAATGTTACGACTGATTAATGGCCGGCGGAGCGTGGATAGGGAATTCCGCGAGATCAGCGCGTCGAAATGGAATGATAATTTATTGGGGGACGGCGAGAGGGGGAGGGACGAATTGTGAAGTAAGGTGCCGCGTCCCGCCCCGCGAGCGTATTTATTTCTTTGTAAAAATAATACGCCACTCGTCCTCTGAAGGCCGTTCCTAAATACCGTCGCATAAATCAAGCTCGCTCGCTCACTCGCTCGCAGGCTGCGCCGTCCCCGACAGCGAGGAGGACATATTAATCGCGCCTCCATGAAACGAGGATAAAACTCGACTCGTCAGCGATAACGGATAGCGAATTCCTCGATCCGTATTTTAGCGGGACTCGCGCGGGAGCGCGACTTTATTACCGTCCGATTGATCCTTCAATTGCCGAAACCTCCCTCTCCCTCGCCCGTCGTCGGGGTCGTCGGGGATTTTTTTTTAATACAAGGCCTCTGGCTCTCCTCGGAACGGCGCGAATAAGTGCGAAGAGGGTCTCGACGTGAGTTTTTATAATGTAATAGTACGTCTCTCTCTCTCTCTCTCTCTCTCTCTCTCTCTCTCTCTCTCTCTCTTTCTCTGTTGGCGTCGCAAGCATACATAAATATCAAAACACACACAGACGCGAATCCCACGCGTTGTCCCGTCCGCGCCGCGGCGCCATTCCGCAATCAGGAAATCCCATCTCCTCGGACGTTCCAGCCGGAGACCGCGGCACAGGCTGGACCGGCGACGCTGGTCAGACGGTAGGCTGAATTACAATGAGCGACGCGTGCTAGATTAGTCTGACGCCGAGGCGACGATTGCGGAATTCATTTGACCGGCAAAAACAAAAATGTTTATTTCGATTCTGCGCCGCCAGCGTCGTGTCCACGGCCTTCTGCCGGCGGCGGCGCAGCACGGCCTGCGCTAATTCTCTCCTCCTCTTCCTCCCCCTTCCGACAAGTGTCTCTTCTCTCGCTCTTTTTCTCTTACAGATTGCGAAAGTCAACTCAGCGACAGAGGAGACAAAGCACGCACGTAACTCGCGGCGTGTCGAATTTGCACAAATGATCGGATTCCAATGATGTTTTTGCCGTGACGTCCTGTCGATACCCGATGTAAACGTCGCGAGGCGCGAGCCCAGGCATAATTTAAGTCTGATTTAAGAGCAGGCACCGGCTCTCGGAATAACTCGCACCCCGTGGCATCCTCATCCTGTTGACGTCAATGAATAATATCGAGGAGCCGTAAAATGTTAACTCGGCGCCGAATAGTCGGACGACATTACCGGCTTCAAAGGGAAATGATCGACCAGTCGATCGTGTCCTCTTCTCTCTCTCTCTCTCTCTCTCTCTCTCTCTCTCTCTCTCTCTGCTTTTCGGCGTGTGCTCGAAGGAATCTCTGAAACGTGTTGTCAGCCGGCCTCCAATCGACCGCGAGAGGAATTTTAGGCGCACGCACTCGTTCGAATTTACTTCAGATTCAGGGCCGGCGTTTCTCCTCCGAGTGTCCAGCTCCTGCGGTTTTCGTGTTTATTGCCGCGACGGGATTTAAACGCCGCGTTTGACGTGTCGTTGATATATTCCGACAGGCGGCAGGCGCTAGACGTGTTTTTCTCTTCCAAGCGGATGTTCTCCCTCGACTATAGCGTGCGGGTGAAGAGGATACCAGTTTGCAAAGTGCGAACGTAGCACACGCTACTGCGAGAATTTCGCCGGCATTCCGCACGATTCGATGCATCATCCCGCATTTTACGTGGGTTTCGCACAGCTGGCGACGGGTGGGGAAGGTTCGAGGAAATAAAGATGCGAGGACACGCGCGCGCGAATGTGGTAAATATAAAAATATATTTCACATCGGATAAAACAGCGTCTTACACACAACAGCGATCTTCGTTTCTAAAATATATATAATCGAACTCGGCGAGTATATAAACAACGCTTTAAATAACGCACGCGCGCGTTCAACTTGTAACAAACGCAATGGTATCCTCGAGCGCGTCTCGTTGCGCCTTGGTCTTAACGAAAGCAGACTTTCTTCGACATTTTATTACAATGGTGCGAATATCTATTTGCGGATAGCACAACGTGTTACGCGTTCGTTATTGCCGCGCAATCTTGTATAATAAATCTTGTATGTGTATATATATCCCGTTATCTTCATCGTCATCATCACAGCGCTGTTGTATACATTTAACGTCTCCCGTACGCGTGGTGAGACTGATGAGCTGCAAGATAATAGGCAATATATCATGTCTCACTTTATTTTCTTTTATTTCCTACACATCTAACGATAACATACCGAGAGAGAGAGAGATAGAGAGAGAGAGAGAGAGATAGATAGAGAGAGAGAGAGAGATAGATAGAGAGAGAGAGAGATAGATAGAGAGAGAGAGAGAGAGAGAGAGAGAGATAGATAGAGAGAGAGAGAGAGAGAGAGAGAGAGACACTCACGTTTGTAAAAATCTCCCAGAAAAGTTACATTAGGCACTAGGGCGTGGACTTTCTGTACAACCGTGGCCTTTGACTCTAGATCGGCGTTTATGTTCCAAATCTGAAAACAAACGAGATTTAGCTCCACCCCGTTCTATATTCGCGCGTCTTTGGGTGGGTCATTCCCTAATTTTGCAGCGCACGTACCTGAATGAGATCTTCCCTGTCGCGAATGGAGACAGTCACCCCGCAAACTTCATCGTCCGGTGCAACATGCTTAGTGAATTGCTCTCCAATCGCTGCTAGCACCACTTCCTTCCACACTTGCTCCTAAAAGGGATGGTTTTAGATATTGATCACCTGTCTTGACATTTTTACTCGCGGTACTCACGGTGTCAGACTTGTGGCACTTTAGCCTCCAGGTGCCACCCCTTTGATTCAGCTTGTCTTCCCACAGGGGATATCTCTCATCTCTCATTAAGTGGTAACTATATTTGACCTGGTGATGAAAATTGAGTACAATAGTATAGCATAATAAAGTACGATACAATTAATACATGATACAATCATATAAGCAGGAAGTACGATATAGCTGTACCGTACCTGCATGTCCCCGGCATTTGGTATGTTGTTGAAGACTGCCCAGAAGTTCTGCACAGTATCCACCGTGTAGATTTTCTGCAGGTTGGCTTTGTACTCTTCGGTGGTTGTGCCAGGAACAGCTCTGTTGATTGAGCAATTTTCTCTTTTCTAAACAATTACCAATAAATAGCACCAAGCATTATCAACTGAGATACTGGTGCCGCATAATGCTGACAGACAAAAACGTGCAAAGGAGTTTGCTTTTTGCGCTATAAAAACAAAGTTGCGAAAGCACACAAAGAGGTATTCGCAAAGACGGTTGTTAAATTACGCGTTACGATTATTTCGCCCGGTCGTCCCGGAGCAAAGCGGGATCAGAGGTCTCGTCGTACAAAGCTTAGCTGTACGGCTATATCGGGCGACGAGTTTACGACGCGATATTTGACGGAGCAAGATAGAGATAAGAACCTCGACTGGTACGACATATATTTAGCGAGAAGTGTTACGGATTGAAAGATTATTCTCTCCGTCCGACCTTCTCCCCCTCTCTTTGCCCCTTTCTCACTTGTCTAGCCAGAAGGTCCATGGTGTCTGCAACGGAATGCTCGAGCTCTCGTGCTTCTCGATCGCGTTGACAGCCTCGTCGGAGAACACCGCGTTGTTCAACAGGTCCGTCGAGCTGTCCTCCGTTGCTTCGCATTCCGTCGCGGCCATGTTGGGAACGACGATGGTGTGGCAGCGCTACTAAACGTCAAAAATCATGTGATCATCGCAGCCGCTGCCGCACCGAAAACGATGACGTTTGCTCCCCGACATTGACCGAAGAAGAAGAAGCAATGAGACGGCTGAAGCTCGCAGATAACGCGAGAGATAATGGCTGTTTTCTATCTCGCCGGTATGTTCGGCCGGTATCAAAATTCGCGCGACAAAAATCCGGCGTGTGGCGAAAACTTTTACGTGATAAGGTCAGATTACAATCGTCTCGTGCGCGCGTGTCCCTTCGTGTTCGAAAAAATACATGAAAAGCGGTCCCCTTTCCTTCCGGCTGACGGTAAAACAGCTGCGATGTTTCGACGAGTTACCTGCGCTCAACGCCAGATGGCGGGCGCGGTGCAACTTTTGCGAGACGCGCAAAAGAGCTGTTGCTTCTTGAGAATAGGGATCCGATTTTTTTTCAAACAGATCGATTTAAAGATCGATTCGAATCACGAAGAAAAAGATCGATCTTTAAAAAATCGGTTTGTAAAGAATCGATTTCAGAAAATCGCTTTGAATCGGTATGCATTTGTATCGGTAAAGTGAACCACTCATTAACACGTTCATTGCCAAACTGAAAATTTGAATTTCGTGTGGTGGCCAAAGTTATTTTTTCTTTTATTTATTTTTAGTCGTTTTTTTGCACGATTGAACTGGCATTGAACTGAGTCTTTTCGAGGGTCCTGGTTTGTCACTCATAATAAAAAACAATCGCGTGAACGGCCGTTTGATGAGGGGCTACAACACGCGATATCACGTGAATGGCAATGATAGTGTTAAAATATATATATACTATCTGTCAAACTTCTACACTCTAAAGTAGACCTCGTGTAATTCATATAAAGTTTAACATGAATTAAAGAAATTAAACGGATGGTATTCTTTTGGTTGTGTTGTGTGTGGCCACTGCAAGATAGAAAAAGATCTTTAAACCTTTATGCTAAGAATTTAATTAGTTTGATTAAATATCAATCAAGGGTTTTTAAACGTTATTAAATAAGAAATCACATTTACTATTATATGCATATACATATGTATATAATATATATACTGTTGTAATATACATATGTATATAATATATATACTGTTATATGAAGTGGCTGTGATTGGTTCGCACGTTCCGTTCCGCTGAAAATTTTCGCCCATGGAACATCGGCCTGAAGGCAACGTAATGTGCATCGTGCAGCCATTAAGTGAGTTCAAATATTACAGCTAAAAAGAATTAAAAAAAAAACTATATTACTAGTAGAAACTGAAAAAATCGTGATGGCGATTTTCAGAATTTACAGATCGATCCTTGAATCGATTCAGTTCCAGAAAATCGATCTTTTAGGCTTCGATTAATCGATCTTCGATTAAATCGATTTAAAATCGGCATCCCCAAGCTGTTGCTTCTTGAGAGATCGAACGCGTTCGTTTCACGAATCGGTTTGAAAGATGCAGATAGCCCAGATAGCAAAAGGACATCCTCAGGACGTCCAGGACAGACTTTACGGATATCCTGAGGACATCCGAATAATATTCCGGGAGATCCTGAGGATGTCCGGAGGAAGAACAAATGATAGCCGTTTTTTTTGGTCCCTCGGTTATCCTAAGGATGTCCTATCGGACGTCCTGCGGATATTCTTTCGGACGACTTAAGGATTTACATAGGACATTGCGTGGCCATTTCTTAGGTTCTTAAAGTAGTATTGTTGTAGTATTGTCGGAGTAGTTGCTTCAACTATCTTTGTGTAAAGGCGTCAGAAACGAGAACATTTGCAAACAATTCTTGCAAATCTCGACTAAATGAAAAGATATATCTATAAAACGACACTTGTGATGGATTCAAAAAATTTGTAAAATAGTCCGACTACTTTTTATTTGCTGTAAAAATCAATAATCAGGTGGAAAAGTAATATAACAAAATTCATGAGAAAAGATTCTTTAAAACATAAGTTGCACGCCATACTAATGTTACGGCTATTTATTAATTTTTACAACAAATAAAAAGTGGTCCCAAACAGCACAAGGACGTCCTTTGGACATCCTCAGGATGATCCGTGGATATAACAATGTCCCCACCTGGTCCCAGGACGTTCTAGGACATATTCAGAATAATCCTAAGGACGTCATGTGCTTTTTGGATTTTGTCGTTCGACTTTTTAATGAGACTCATTTACAAACTCATTTATAAACGGAGCCACGATAATATGCATAATGGCGAATTCATTTGCAAAAATACCGTTGAACATGTTGCCTGACAATTTTCCGCGGCTGTTACATCGCTGGTATCGCCGTTTCCCCGAGAGGGGATATCGCAGTATAAATTAGACAAGATAGTATATCGGGCTCATCTGTCATTACGGCGCACTGCGCACGCAATTACGCGCGCTTTCTTACGTAAAGAAATAAATGACCGTCGTGTTGCTATGGCTTTTAACAAATACCACACGTCGTCGCTTAATGTCGGTAATGATGTCCGCTTAATAACACATGTGTGCCAACGTATTTTATCAAGATGCGTAGAGGGAAGCAATCTTCGCGACACACACACACACACATACACACACACACGCGCGCGCACTCGTGTGTGTTGCGTAGGAGCGAGCGAGCCATGTGGTTTCCATAACTGTTAGCGACGTGGTACACACATCCGCGAGTGCGCACAAGGTGACTCCAACAGAATCTTCACCAGTTTTGACAAAAGGCTTCAAATTCAACGTCAGCTCGATAAAAATACACAATCGCGAGAGTGCTGCCAGAAAAAAAGAGAGAGAGAGGGAGAGGCACAGAGTGCGACGGGTTCGATTACGGAATGGTTCGTGTCAAGTTCCAACCGACACGTCACGGCTTATCCGTGATACAGTGCCGGTGAGGAGCGGGGTGGAGAGGTGGGAAGATGAGCGTGTGGAAGTGCGAGCAAGTGATCGGAGGTAAAAAATTTCGAGTATCGTATGCGAGGAGAAATCAAAGTCGCTGCATTTGTCGCCGGACACCGTGTATATGAGCGCTCGAAACAGACACACTCGCGCGCCTACACGATCATCAACACATTCGAGGAGTGTCTTTGAGTTTGATGTCGGTGACCATATGATACTCGCGGTCGGCAGTGAACGGCGCTGGCTTCGTTCGTTCGCTCGCTCGCTTTCGCTGCCGCGAGCCGTGCTAAATTTACATCCTCGCCGCCGTTCCGCCCGCTTCGCCAGATTTGTCTTGCATCGCGCGTTGCATACCGCCGCGCTATCGCGAAGAGAATCTCCCGTGTGTGCAACGTGATAAGACGGCGATCGCCGTCGGTCGCCTGGACGATCGGGGCTCCGTTTCCAATGGACGGCGCAGAAGCGAAGGGTGAGCGGACTTCATCAGCCGGACGAGCGCAGCGTGCTTTACTTGGCGTTATCGCTAATTGTAAGACGTACCGGAGACAGTTCGCGGGATGGCAAGCAGGCCGCCAGCGGAGAGTCCACGCGTGATCCGCTCGGAGATTTGAAGCTCGATCTTCGCCCCTCGTCACGTGAGCGCGCGCGCGGATTTGAACGCAGCCGTCGCGAGTGAGGCTAATGGTATTCCGGGTAACAACTCCGGGTACTTTTCCGCTAAAAGCGCCAGTCCGCCGAATGTCCCGTTTTCGCGTCTGCACGTCGCACTTGTCCGAGCAGCGTTAATCATCGCGTGACGATGTGCCGCCAGTGTCTCGCCTTGTTTCGCAATTAGCAAATTCAATTCGGGATGTTGGTCGCGAGGCGGAGCGCCGTCGGCGTCGCGCGCTCCCGGCAGCGCGTGTGCGCGTTGCTTCGCGCGAACGCGTGCTGGCGCCGCAGGTGGCCCCTTTTAATCGCCTTCGTTTCGTGTGTTATTCTCGCGGCTACGCTCGTCAGAGTCTCGACCGTGAGCGAGACGAGCGCGACGAGCCGTGACACGTACCTGGACGACGTGCCCGGAGATCTCTACCGAGAAGGTGAGCACTCCTGTAGCCGATCTGTTTCTCTTACTGTTTTCCTGCGCGTCATGGAAAAGTGAATATAACAGCCCCCATCTCGTTATTATTTACAGTATTGCGCAAGTGGTACAACCTCTCCGACGGTAAGTGGCTCTAATTGAGCGATACTTTTTATCGGAGGCTGCCGCTCATTTGACGACGAATAATGGGCGGTGCTGCTTTTTTCTCCCGTTGCCCTCCGTTTGTTGCCGCCCAGTAAGCAAGGAACATGAAATTAATGTTTAGAAATGTTGATTTTACGTGAAATTTTGAACATTTCTTGAATAATATTATATATATATATTTAAAAACTATTATTTTGCAATATGATTTTTCTACATGTTGTTAAAACATTTTATAAAACATTATAGCAAATATTTTTTTAATATTATTTTTACATTTATTTGATGTTAATGCAACAGTTAAAAAATGTTTATAATTTGATATTAGATTTGCAACATTATAACATTCTCATTTAAACATTACTGAAACTTCGAAATTATACCCGGAGTAAACACATTTATATAAAGTGAAGAATTGGTGTAGTGTTAAAGTGATGGACTTGCAATCCAGAGGCCTTTCGGATGTCTCGGAATTCCGGTCCCATCAGTACCAAGTGTGAATTTTTCAAATGTGATGTGACATGGTATCAAATAAAGTACTAACTAAGTTTCAAGTAAAACCAGCATAACAACTTTAAGAATCGTTTCTACTAGAAAAAGAGCAATAATTAGTTTTTAATTTTTGCACTGAGAAATTACCAAAATGTTAGCAAAATTATTAGCGCAACATTATTTATAACAACTTTACATTTGTGAATTCAACATTACCGAAACCTCCAAATCGGGGTCAAAGTTTGTTCATTATGATATTGCATACAACGTTAGATACGACATATTTGAAAACGTTAGATGTTACTGAATATCGTTATAATAACATTGTAGTAATGACTTTTTACTTACTGGGCGTAAATGACGTCGCTCGTGCAAATTGCGTTGCACCGGGACGCGCTAACGCGGCGGACGCAGCGCGCGTTGCGGGTCCCAAAGGTCCAAGGGTATTTGTTTGCGCTCAACGTCTACGCGGGGTGGGGGGAATGAATGTCCGCTAAATTGACGGAATATCGCTCAGGTAAAAGATGGTTCAACGAGCGGAACGTGTCCACCCTGGGCCCGCGACTGTTTCGTCGGCTATTGGCGGACATTTGGCGGGACTGGCTAACGTGGCAGCACGACTCGAACAGGTCTTACGTTCTTCAAGAAGCGGACATCCAAGACCCGTCGATGGGACAGTCGGCCGCGATCCGCGACATCTTCGAGGATAAGGTAGTAAAACAGTTGTAGGCAAATGTACTCACACGAGGAGTTAAAGAAGGGTAGCCGAGAAAGAACGCACTATTCGGCCGCCGGATCGACCGCTGCAACACGACGACGACTTGTACGAGTACGAGTTAATAAACGGCGACAATTCCGTTCTGGTTGCTCTCTACAGCGAAATGGGTTTTTCATAGAGTGCGGTGCGTACGACGGCGAGACGCGCAGCAACACCTTGTACTTGGAGCGGTTCAGGGGCTGGTCCGGTCTTCTCATAGAGGCGGACCCTATCAATTTCACGAAGATGCTGCAGAAGAATAGACGGGCTTACCTCTCGCCGACCTGCCTCAGCGTCGCGAAGGAGAGCCCCACGCTGGTAAGGGAATCGATGATTCGACTCGTCATCGTTAGCGCCGGCTTGCTGGTAAGAGAGCCACGGTATCGGTAACTCGAACTCGTCGTTTATGACATGCATAGTTAGACCGTCCTCTCGTCTGAACGGCAGCTCAGCCGCTGGGGTGTGACGAGCTCTCGTTGTAAATTACAGGCGTCCTTTCTCATGGCGAGGAACCTGGGGCGTCTGCATGTGGCCGACAACACCACGGGGGATATATCGTCCAACACGGCCGACGTGGCGTACACGGGCCAGCACATTCACGTGCAGTGCTTCCCACTGACACTCTACATCGCCGCCTTGGGAATCAAGACGGTCGATTACTTGAGCCTCGACGTCGAGGGCAACGAGATCGAGATACTGGAGACAATTCCGTTTAACGAGGTGGATATAAAGGCACGTGTGCACGCATTTGGAATCCCCGCGCCGCGCGCGTGCTCTCGCGCGGCCCTTTCACCGTGACGCCGTGCCAACGTTAATGGCACGCAAGACGCAATATATATATATATATATATATATAATATATATATGTATAAACACGTGGGTGTATTTTTAGGCTCTCTCCGTGGAGTACATACACGATGCGAAGGGTCCAAAGTACATGATCGCTGCGATGGAAAAGCAGGGCTATTACGTTCACAGCTTTGTGAGGCAAGAGGACAACTTGGCCAACGATATTATTTTCGTGAAACGCGACACGTAACGAGCGCACGGACATGGATGTGGTCGGTGACGTTCGTCGGGGACTTCCGTTTTCCTTGAACGAGACGAACACCGAGTGTAGTCGTGAGTGTAGTCGTGAGTGCACGCGCTAGTGCACAGTGCGTTCGTGCTTGGCGTTTAGAATCCTTCACGGGCAACGAGACGCGTAGGTCTCGTTTCGGTTTTACCCGAGGAAAACAAACTTACCAGACTCGGCCGGAATATTTAACCATCTCTCGAAAGAATGACTCGACTTGTTTTCTTCCATCGCTTGTGTCTCGTTGAATCCTCGTCGAGAGGAGAGAGCAGACTCCGACTCGCCTGCCGACGAATCACGCAATTTGCGAAATTAAAATTGCAAAAGTTTAGCCACGGTTGTAGCCGCACAGTCGGATGTTAATGAAAACATTTTATTTTATCAGATATATTTACAAAACCATATACACTCTTTTAATAAAATAAAGCACCTTCCGCCGTGTTCGCAATCTACTTGCCTTTATGGAAAACGTAACGACACGTAACGGCAACAATATTTTTCACTAACCATAAATAATAAACAAGCGCATCGGCGGTGTTGCACGATCAAGGAACTTGTCACGCTCTATGGCACGTTACATTTAATTAATTTCGATTCCGTCAGCGCGATCGAATACAAAGCCCTTCCGTGAAAGCGGAACGGTCCCGGCGCATGTACGATATTTCAACAAGTGCGATCTCGAGTCGTCTGGATGCAATTTGCACGTCAATCTTTTTGCTCAACGATATCTAATAGTAAAAGAGGAGAGATGGCCTTTGAGGACTGACGCCTCGCGCGGCGAACCTTGCTGATGAAATTACTTGGAGAACTGAAAACGTCAACGTGTCTCCAAGTCAGCCTTTTGTTTCGTTGGAAAAAAACGCAGCGCGCCAATGCCAAGCTTCGTGCTCGCTTGAGAATGCGCAGCGAGCTGCCGGTCAAATGCTTTCGATTTCGCCTTCGCGGTCGCGCCGAACTAATCGACAACTCGCAGATCCCGTCGGCGGAGTAGCGAGTCTTCGAAGTCGAGAACGCAACAGAAGGATTCTCAACGCTGATTAACGCCAACGAGCACAAAGTCAAGTGACAAATCGCTTGCGACAAGGGTCAGCTTGCCGCCCTCTCACCTCTCTCACTCTCACTCTCTCACTCTCACTCTCACTCTCTCTCTCTCTCTCTCTCTCACTCTCTCTCTCTCTCTCTCTCTCTCTCTCTCACTCTCTCTCTCTCTCTCTCTCTCACTCTCTCTCACTCTCTCTCACTCTCTCTCACTCTCTCTCACTCTCTCTCACTCTCTCACTCTCTCACTCTCTCACTCTCTCACCCTCTCACTCTCTCTCTCTCTCTCTCTCTCTCTCTCTCTCTCTCTCTCTCTCTCTCTCTCTCTCTCTCGCCTGCATGACGCACTCGCCAAAGTATCTCGATCAGCTCGATCCGACGCGTCCCAGGAACCAAAGACACTGCAATTTCGTCTCGCAGCGAATATCTAATACAATTATTATACTCTCACACACACATACACACTCTTTCGTTCAGACTCGCGAGTCGTGTCTAAGCTCTAACGCGGTCGCGGCAACATCCAATAAACATTTAACAGTTAGCGAACGCTACGTCGATGGATGTTGGCGGCTACCGATGACCTCGCATCAGCGAGTCACCGTTCGTCGGGGTATTGTCGCAACAACAACGAGTCGAGAAAAGCAAAGTTGAGTGGCTCGTCACTCCCGGGTCGGCTCTCGGGATTAAACGTAGCTCTCCTGCTTCTTCCTCGCGATACTCCCGGCCACGACCGCCGTAAGTAAGGGTAGCCTGATCTGCTTGTCCGCGGGCGCGTTCTCGTGCTCGACGCACGGTACCTTGACGCTGCAGCTCTTGTTGCTGCTGTGCCTGCGCCAAAAGTCCGAGTGGCTGCTGCTGCAGTTGGTGGAGCCGGTGGTGGTGTAAGTGCCGGTGCGTTCCGACGTCTTCTTCTTCTTGCGCCTGGTAGGCCCCAAGCCGCACAGCCTGAGGAAGCCCTCCCGGAACTTGGTCGACATGAGGTTGTAGAGGATCGGGTTGATGGCCGAGTTGAGGTAGAGCATCACCCGGCAAAAGTACAAGAGACAGTAGTAGCCCTCGGTACCGAGCGAGATGACCATCTGCGGCGGCACGATGATGACCCAGAGGGTGAATGCCCTGAAGGGCAACAGACACAGGAAGAAGCACAGCACCACTGTGCCGAGCATCAGCACCACCTGCTTGCGATACTTGAGCAGATTGTTGGCCGGGCCGCGGCTGATGGCCGGATTCGCCATGAGGTGCCGGGCGATCACCGTGTAGAGCACAATCAGGATCAGCAGCGGTATCACGAAGAACACGACGATGGTCGTCAGGATGAAGCCGGTCATCCACGTGGCCGACGCCGGGGTCATGCACATCGGCACGTACGTGCCGTCGACGTTCTCCACTTCGTACGTCACCATCAACAGTATCGGGCTAAAAGATTAGAAACATCAAAAGGGATTATCATCATTATCATCGTCGTCGTCGTCATCATCATCATTATTATCGTCATCCTCGTCACAATTGCTACTAATGGCGCGAGATTATGCAAAAGAAAAAAACCGGCCAAATGCCGAAGGCTGAGCGAGGAGGAGGGTGAAATGATTGGACATGGGTTGCAGTTTGGTGCGAGGGAGCTCCATTTATTTTCGCCGATACAGCCGGCGGCCGGCTTCGTGGCCGCTTGACTCCCCGCGATGACGAGGACACGCTGCTTAATACTGGGACCAATTGTCTGTCGATCGAGACAGAAAGAGAGAGAGAGAGAGAGAGAGAGAGAGAGAGAGAGAAAGAGAGAGAGAAAGAGAAAAAAGGATCACTATCTCTCTCTCTCTCTCTCTCTCTCTCTCTCTCTCTCTCTCTCTCTCTCTCTCTCTCTCCCTCTCTCTCTCTCTCTCCTCTCTCGCTCACGAGGATTTTAATATCTCACGGATAGACGTAGAAAGTTTTCCGCGGCGCTTACAGTCCCATCTAATCTAGCCGGAAGCATCGAGCCTTGAGCTTCCTTCCACAATAAACATCCACTGGAACTCGCTGCGTTCAAACGTAATCGTCCGACACTTCCGCTTCGGGGAAGGAGACAAGTTACACACTTTCCGATACTTGAAGAGTCACAACTCTTCCTCCTCCTCCTCCTCCTCCCGATTCAAGTTCCTCCGCCGCTGGCGCGCGGGGGCGAACCTCCTCGCGCCCGCGCTCTCTTCTCCGCCGAGGCCGCAGAGCCTGAGGAAACTTCTCCGGAACTTGCTGCTCATGAGATTGTAGAGAATCGGGTTGCCGGCGCTGTTCAGGTAGAACATGATGCGGCAAAAGTTGAGCAGGCCGAAGAACGTGTCCGAGTCGATGGCGGCGATGCGCTCGGCCGGCGTCACGACGATGTAGAAGGTGAGCAGCCGATAAGGCGACAGGCACACGAAGAAGCTCACCACCACGGCCAACAGCATATACACGACCTGGCGCTTGGCGCGAGCGTGGTACGCGTCGCCGGCGGCGGACGCGGTGTCGCGAGTCAGGTGGCTGACGATGTGCGAGTACAGCACGACGAGGAGCGCGAACGGCGCGGCGAAGAAGAGCAGCACCACCATCAGGAAGAACGTGACGCTGGCGACGGAGTCGGCCTGCGTCAGGCACACCGGCACCTCTTTCACCCGAGGCGCCGTCGTCGTCGTCATCGTCGTCGTCGTCATCATCATCATCATCTCCCGTCCTGCCGCGGTCGCGGCCTGGGCGCTTCCGTGCGCCATCTTGATCTCGCGGTACTGCGATACCCAGATCATCGGGCTGCAATCAATCACCAGAGGGGTAAAGGAGAAGGCGTTTTATACTCGGCCACTCGCTTCGCCGGTGGACCGCAACTTTGGGCCGATCCAAGTCCAAGTCGACCCTGGCAAGCGGATAGAACAGCAGGCAGAGAGAAGCGAGAGTCCAAGTCCGCTCGCACACCGCGGCGGTTGGCTATTTTGTAGAGAGTGCGGAAAGACACGTTGCTTGTAGAGACACATGGAGTGCCGACTAGCTGAGAGCTTTCGGGATCGTCGCGCTTGGCGGCGCGCAAACTTGAGCCATCGTTGCGGCTACATGTTGTTCCGTTTTCGGTTCCGCGTTTTCGAGAATAATAACGCATGCGGAGGAATCGATTGATTAATGCAGATGGGTTGGAAGGGTTGGGGAAATGTTCGTTCCAAGTCGCTGCTGTAACGTTTAGAAACGTTCAAGTCTGTTAAACGCGCGACTGGACAAGTCCACACTTGGATGAATTCTTGCAAAGATATCAGTATTAAAGTGTTGCGTCAGTTTTCACAGCGGACTCACTCACTGGCTGACTTGGACGTTTACAACGTTTGCACAAATGGATCATTTGTCGAGCGACAAGTCATGAAAAAGATGTATTTTCTTTTCCGCGAGCGAAGCAAAGTTTTCACGTTCTCCTCAAGTTCCGATTGGCGCGACGCTTTAATCGCGCTAATGCCGCGCGATCTTTTCCGCGAAGAAGGAAGCGCGTCCTTCCGCGCCTTTTTCAACCCTTTAACGCCTACTGCTAACTATAGTTACTATAGAAACGTATTTAAGAATCCATAAGTTGGTCAAAAAAGGAGATATTTTCGTTTTCTTTGTACCCGCACTGTAAAGGTGAATTCTTCTTCTAAAAAATAGTATATAGATTATATGTAGATTCGGTTTAGTCTGTTTTAAGTTCAGTTTCAATGATAACATGTTTTGTTAAATTCCAAGTAGGCATAGTTACCATTGTTACTGACATCTGAAAGTGCATTATAAATGATTAGATTGATATCTGTTATAATTTTATACATTTGGCAGCTTTCTCAGTTGCAAAATGTGAAATTAAAAGAATATAGAAATTCCAAATGACGAATCCAATATGGTGGACACGAAAATCAAGAAATCAAGCTATTTTCGTGAAACCTGATGACCTACAGTTTTTTATGCGACGAAAAATGAAGGAGCGATTGACTATCTAAATGGTGATCTATAAGATATTCTTCTGAAATAGTAAGCTTGACGCTCTGAATGATAAACTTCATTCACAAATATACGAGTAATACGTAGTAAAGTTTCAGCTGAAAAATGTCAAACTGACTATCAGAGTTATGTCGTATAGATTATCCCTCATTTTTCTCTGTATAGGTTGCTCATTTCGTATATGCTTTTAGGATCCAAGTCATATTTACCAGTAAACAAAAAACGAACGATAAAAAAAACCAAACTGACGAAACCAACAAACGGAAAGCAGAAACTTCGTGTACTCTTATTTATTCAGAAGGTAGTTTCTCGCAGATATAAAATTCTGATATTTTTTTTGGTCATCACTATTTATAGTCTCAGTTCAAAAAAACTCAAATTTCATTCTTCTAAAACACTTACAAAAAAGTCGGGCGTTAAAGAGTTAAGAGGGTAATTTTTTGTACAGCTTTGAGCCCCGAGCTCTCTCCGCGCCCGGCGAGCAGCAGCAACCGAGGTATCCCGTGTCGGCGGAGCACCCCTCCGCGCAAAATTGCCAAGTGATGGAAAGGTTACCCTTCTTCGTGGCTTTGCGAACGCGCGCGGAGGTGGGAATAATAGCGTAGACGAGAGACTCTCTCCCGAGACGGTCGCGTTCCCACGCAGTGAAACGGAATATCTCGCGTTTTTTACGCATCGTTTCTGCCGCTTTACACGCTACGATGTGTAACGCGGCTCGGGCTACGAATTCAACCTTTGCCGGGGCGACGGTAGGATGGCGGCGTCGGGTTTCCTCGACGGCTTTGAGGAAACGCGATTTCGATAATTGCGCGTCTCTCTCTCTCTCTCTCTCCCCCCCCCCCTCTCTCTCTCTCTCTCTCTCTCTCTCTCTCTCTCTCTCTCTCTCTCTCTCTCTCTCGACGACGCGTCTTCACGCAGACGCCTGCACTAGGAAAAAATTTAGTATCTCTAACAAAACTGTTTAGTTGAGGCACATTTTAATAGCAACCAAATATCTTGTTTTATATAACAAAATATTTAGTTGTCCCAACTAAATATATTTTTCTGCTCTTTGGATCAAATGATTTTGTTCTTGCACTAAAATTTAGAAGCGGACTAAAATTTAGATTTTATATATTAAGAAAAAATTATAGTATTTTTAACAAAATTCATATAGTTAAAGCTTTTTGATTGCTATAACAAAAGTATTACGTTATACGAAGAAACCGTAATCAAACAAGATATTTGTTTACAGGAACTAAACAGTTTTGTTGGGCATATTTTAACCAAATTATTTTGTTGTTACAACAAAATTTTGGTTCACGCAACAATACATTTTTCCTAGTATGCGAGAACGAGGCAAGAAAATTGACAAAGATAAAGCGAACGTCAACGTACCGATGCACCAAAGTGCTTAACACGTTCGGTAGCGAGCCGAAATTCCGAGCTTTGATAAGAAGAGGGATTTAAAGTTGCCGAGGCGATTAGCAGCTTCCTCGTGCGACAAACAACTTGAAAATTAGTTCTCGAGGCGGCGAGAGCTCTCTCCGGGGCGATGGAAAAACACGTCTCGAGCCCACGCTTTGACTCCGGCGAGCGGAGCGAAGCGGAGCGAAGCGGAGATCGGGTCAAAAGAAATAACAGTGCCGGCGGATGTGAGCGCGCGGCGCGACTCCGAACGACCCTGCGATAAAGCGTCGCTTAACCGCGTTTCGCGCTTTCGGACAAGTTGCAGGCGAGCTCTCCTCTCACGCACGAGGAGCCGGCTTTGACTTTGACTTTGGCTCGCGCAGACCCAGTCGCAGCGCGCTCCCTCGAGAATGCGAATCGCTAAGGCACGAGGAGAGGAGGTCGTCTCTCTGCGGCCGTCACTCGGCGATACAATTCCGCAGGTTCGATCGTGATTTCCCCCTTTGACGGCAAAGCGACGAGAGAAATGCTGTGCCGGCCGCTAATTAGTCCGACGCGCTTTCGATCGGAGAATCGCGTTCTACCCTTCTCGGCCTTCCGCGAGATGCAACGCGCGTCTCCGCGGCATCTCACGACGGCAGCTCGTTTGTACAATTGCCTAACCGCGCGACCCCTCCGGAGAGCCATCAACACTCGATTTATGACACAGATATGGGAGGCGGGGGAGGGGGAGGGGATGAGAGCACGAGCGATAAAATTCCGAGGTTCCAATGGTCGTTGGAGACAAATGGGCGGCCTGCGCTGTCGTGGAATGCGACGTTTCATTCGAGATTCTATCGCGACATTTTGCCGCGGTGGAGGGGAGCGACTGCCGTTTCATAAGTGGCTATAAATTCGGCCGACGCTCCAAGTACTTGACGACCGAGACGACAAAGTCGATCTACGCGTCACGCGCGTGCACGCGTGGTTAGGGGGCTCTCTTCCTGTCCCTGCCGCTCCCCCTCCCCCTCCACCTTGCTCTCCACACAAAGTACTTTACGAGCGATATCGCTTTTATGACGCGTATGTGGGCCCCGGCCCCACAATGTGTGATACGGCCGCTTTTATCTGGGAGGGCGAGCGACCCCCAGGCCGGACTTGCCGCGTGGGGTAAGAATCGAATTCCCGAGACTACCCTTGCTCTCCTTTCAGCGCGTCTGTCTCTCGTCGGCGCTCCTTGCGAGAAGGGGGAACTTGCGATCTTGCGTGTCGCCCCCGCATGTAAACTCTCTTTCTCTCCCTTTCTCCGCACAACGATCCATCTCTCGGCTGCCGGTAGAACGCAGGAGAGAGCCGGCTAGTGGGAGAGGGGGGTGGCAGGGGGAGAAATAATCGCCTTGCATTTTATGCTGACGGATATCAAGCGAGCCCGAGAGCCGGCGGCCTCTCTTTCAATGAACTTGGCGGGGCTCCTTTTTACGAGGGAAATTGCGACGAGGACACAATCGAGCACTCGCGGATATTGGCGAGTCCGTTCATTCACGGCGTTGCTTTAAATGCGCTGATCCGAGATAAAAGCCGCCGTCACCGCCGTCGACCTCTCGCGCCCGCGTTTTCACTCGGCTCGCCCCTTTTTACCCAACACTGCCCAACCCCCGCCGCGTTCCGCCCGCCCCTCGTCTCGCGATCTCGGGGCGACGCGCGAACGATCGCGCGCCATTTTTCCGTCATCGGCGCGTCCTGATGATGAGCTACCCCGATGAGATGATGCATGTTACTGACGTTATTGACGTCACACGCTGCCGCCGCACAAAGCGGCCATCTTCCGCGACAGCGACAGCCGGACGGCTCTCGGGGAAGGCCGGATAACGTCGTGCTGGGACCTCCGCAGCCAGCCCGATTTCCGCGGGCGGGGGTGGCGAAAGAGCTGCAATTGCGTTACGCGCGATTGTGCCCGGTCGTCGCTGTGTGCGTGTGCGTGTGTGTGTGCGCTCGAGCAATCTCCGCGGCAGGAATTTCCAAGCCGCGTAGCAGAGAGAGTCGCGTCGTTTCCGCGGGTGACACACATTTCCCGGAATAATGCGAGAGCGAGCACGCGTGTTTTCTACGACGCTCGTAAAGCTCGTAGTCGAAAACGTAACATCGGCGAATGGGCCGCCGCGGCGCGCCGCGCGCTCCTTTGATCTCGCTCGAGTACGTCTGCTTCCTCTCGCGTTATACGACTCGACGCGCGTTCCCGCGATGTAACGAAGCGAGAATCGACGGCGGGCCGTCGTCGTCGTCGTCGGCGGTGAGCGACGGCGAAGAGAAGGAAAAGCGCGCCGCTCCCGCGGGAGGGAAAGGAAGTCCTTCGCTTTGCGCAATTATCAAACTTTCGCGCCCGACTTAACCCGAGCGCGAGGGAGGGGGGGGGAGAGAGAGAGAGAGAGAGAGAGAGAGAGAGAGAGAGAGTGTGAGAGAGTGTGAGAGAGTGTGAGAGAGTGTGAGAGAGTGTGAGAGAGTGTGAGAGAGTGTGAGAGAGTGTGAGAGAGTGTGAGAGAGTGTGAGAGAGTGTGAGAGAGTGTGAGAGAGTGTGAGAGAGTGTGAGAGAGTGTGAGAGAGTGTGAGAGAGTGTGAGAGAGTGTGAGAGAGTGTGAGAGAGTGTGAGAGAGTGTGAGAGAGTGTGAGAGAGTGTGAGAGAGTGTGAGAGAGTGTGAGAGAGTGTGAGAGAGTGTGAGAGAGTGTGAGAGAGTGTGAGAGAGTGTGAGAGAGTGTGAGAGAGTGTGAGAGAGTGTGAGAGAGTGTGAGAGAGTGTGAGAGAGTGTGAGAGAGTGTGAGAGAGTGTGAGAGAGTGTGAGAGAGTGTGAGAGAGTGTGAGAGAGTGTGAGAGAGTGTGAGAGAGTGTGAGAGAGTGTGAGAGAGTGTGAGAGAGAGAGAGAGAGAGAGAGAGAGAGAGAGAGAGAGAGAGAGAGAGAGAGAGAGACGGTCGACGACCACGTGCGCGCGTGTGCGCGCGCGTGTAATTGGCACTCTTGCGACTCGCAATCGCATCGCGCGATGATGAAACTCCCGGTCGTAATGTTCCGTTGTCGAGTGGCAGCCAAACGTCGCGACGACCTAATCCACCGACAGGCCAGGGGGCGGAGAGGGAGGGAGAGCTTTGAGCCCCGGGCTCTCCCGGGCGCGAGTTTTCAAAGTTCACGCGCTGTAATCCGACGATGAGCCTCGGCGAGCTGCCCCGCGGAGCTTAATAGAGACATTAATTTTACCGCGACGCACTTTGCTCGCGCATTTGCGCTCACGCGGCGGGCACAATGAGCCTTTTAGACGTGCGGTGCGCGCACCGGCTTAGGTCCTTTGGCCGCAGAGCAAAATGGAATACGACTCGACGCGCGCGCGTGTGTACAATCACGAGCGAAATTCACCGTTAACATATGACATTTTCTCCGCGCTCGCGGAGTCGCGGTCGTATCGATCGGCTTCGCTCGAGCCAGCGAAGTTGCAGATGACGCGTCGTCGTCTGAAGCGCGCCTCAGGATCAAGAGCAGCCCCTCGGCCCTCGGGGCGCGTCTTTGTAAAACATACGTTTGCGAGCGTAATTAACCCATTAAGGTCCATGCTTCAAATTGCTTGAAAAGAAATTCGAAGCACATTAATCGCACGATAATCATTGCTAAGACTCATGCCAGAAAGCCAATAGTTACTTTTTTCGTATCTCTACTGGTCTAGGCATGTGCTGCAACGAGTACATTCATATAGAGATTGTTTGTAATTTTTTAACAACAAACGAAGCGGAAAATCGAAAATATAATACATGTTTCTTTGGTGATTTTTCCCGTAGAATCGATTGGCGTGGTTAGTTTTTCGGAAAAGTTAATTTTTCTTAATTTGTTTACAACAATTTGTTTGAAAACATTTTTTTTCAATCAATTTGAAGCACCAATAATCATTGCTAGAACCCATGCCAGAAAGCCAATAGTTACTTTTTTCGTATCTCTACTGGTCTAGGCATGGGCTGGAGCGAGTACATCCATATAGAGATTGTTTGTAATTTTTTAACAACAAACGAAGCGGAAAATCGAAAATATAATACATGTTTCTTTGGTGATTTTTCCCGTAGAATCGATTGGCGTGGTTAGTTTTTCGGAAAAGTTAATTTTTCTTAATTTGTTTACAACAATTTGTTTGAAAACATTTTTTTTCAACCAATTTGAAGCACCAATAATCATTGCTAGAACCCATGCCAGAAAGCCAATAGTTACTTTTTTCGTATCTCTACTGGTCTAGGCATGGGCTGGAGCGAGTACATCCATATAGAGATTGTTTGTAATTTTTTAACAACAAACGAAGCGGAAAATCGAAAATATAATACATGTTTCTTTGGTGATTTTCCCCGTAGAATCGATTGGCATGGTTAGTTTCTCGGAAAAGTTAATTTTTCTTAATTTGTTTACAACAATTTGTTTGAAAAAATTTTTCTTCAACCAATTTGAAGCACCAATAGTCGTTACTAAGACCCATGCCAGAGACCCAATAGTTACTTTTTTCATATCTCTAATGGTTTGAGCATGGGCCCTTAATGGGTTAATAGGGCTCGTGTCGCGGCGGCAGCGACTTCTCATTGCGCTCACGTAAAAATGGCGCGGGGGACGCAACACGTGCCGAGAGCAAAAGGAAAGAAACAAGCAGCGCGCGCGCGGCATGCGTCAGTGTGGAGGAGAGAAGCAGAAGAGCCGGTAGCGTACAAAAGAAGCACGGAAAAGAAACAAGAGGGCTGCAGCAGCGCGAGAAGGGGTGGAAGGGAGGAAAGGAGGGAGGGCTGTAGAAACGTAACGAAGCGAATTATCGATGACTCCCGCGACCTTTCTGTTTCGTATCACCTGGTACACAGCGCCGCCGCCAGCCACGCCAGGAAGCAGAGAATCGTGGCCCTCGTCTTCGTGCACACGTATCTGCGGGGGAGGGAGGAAATTAAGAATCGGGTTACAAGCTGGCGCGTGACTTTTAATTAGCCGCGCTCTCTCCGCTGTTTGCTCGTTAAACTATCCTCGACTGCCTTACCCGGCCCTTAAAGGCTCACAGATGGCGTAATACCGCTCGAAGCTGATGGCCAGAATCGTGAGAACCGAGGCGTGAGCCACCGTCAGCTCCACGAAGGGAACGGCTTTACCTGAAAGCACAAGAGAATTTTTGTCATCTCTCCTCTCTCGTTCTCTCCTCGCGCGTGCGCGCACACGCCGTGGTTTATCTTTAAGGTTTATCTTTAAGGTACGCGGCGAGACCGCGCGCGGCGGACTCGTGCGCTCGGTCGATGCGTCGCGTCGCAAGGACGCGAGTTTCGACGTGAGTAGAAGAATAACATCGAGTCGGCGGGCGACAAACGCTCGCGGGACGAAAGTCGTTTCTCGTTACATCGGTTCCCGCCGCCAAGGCAATAGCCGGCAGCGACGTTTGAAAGTCAAATGCGATGCGCAAGGTGCAGGACTCTGCGCAGGACTATCCGCAGGACTCTCCCCCGTTTGAAGCTGACGCGCACGCTCAGAACCCGCTTCGCCCGTCATCTATCACTCTTCAAAGTTGCAGGCGCCGGTTCACGTCCGATAAACGGCCGAAGGGGGAGGGGGAGGAGAGCGACTTGTAATTCCCGAAAGGAATTTCATGAGACTCGACTCACCGGAGACTCGCAATAAAAACGCCGCGACACCCCGGGCGTTGTTATCCCCCACGTGGGCGAACCTGCCCCGTCGTTTATTCCGGATCAACCTACGCACGAGCTACAAAATCCATTCATTACGTCGACGCGGAAAGAAGACCCTCTGCGGTTGTTGATATCGCGCGTTGATACCGGAATACGAATATTTCGGCGGCCGCGCTCTCTAGTCCTCGACTTGATGAACCGCACGCTAATGGGCGCCTTTGACGAAGTTTCGCGCAAAATCCGCGCGATCGATGCTCAGACCGCACGCGCGCGCGCGCGAGCGAGACATTATATGACATTATATATGACATTATATATTCCACGAGACGAATCGCAGACGCCAGGCGCTCGCCAGGTGGCGACCCCGACATAATCCGCGATTAATACGGGGGGGAAGTCTCACCCTGCCACTCTGCCGCGGTCGGACTCGTTGGAAGAAATTGCGGGAGAGTACCGCACAGTGGGGCCAGATGACATTCTTTGGTTGAAAATTCTCTGGAAACCTGAATCTCCAACCGATCATCGACACCGATGGATGAGGTTGATCCTGAATAAATTCCGAAGAGATTCATCTTGGCAAAATTAAAAAAAAATTTTCTTCTCGAATTACTAGCCCCAAAAGAGGAGAAATTATCGTTAAACGCGAGAAACTTGTGTAATATTCATTATTCGACACTTATTTCTATCTAATAGCGTATTCAGCGACGGTGATTACTTTCTATCTCCGTATGATGGCTTATCAGCTAAGGTTTATAAGCTTTGAGCTCATGCAGCATCAGGTTAGGGTTGGATGTTTTGTTCAATGTTCTCCATGTTTTTACTTATTGGGTCCATATGGTTTAATTCTTACTTAATGTGGACTGAAATGATGAGCTTTGAAATTCTGAGTTTTCTAAAAGGTGATTATAAGTTCTGGAGTCTCGCATTTAGTGTCCATAGGCTCGAACCCATTGAGGTCTTGGGAGAACCCAAGATACTGTACTTTAAACGATAAACTTTTAAAACAAAGACCCTAAACCCATGAAGCCTCAACCGATAATTTTTTCAAAATTTCAGCTAGACAGATCTTTTTGGAATTTATTCAGGATCAACCTCATCCATTGGTGTCGATGATCGGTTGGAAATTCAGGTCTTTGGAGAATTTTGAACCAAAGAATGTCATCTGGCCCCACTGTGCGCCGGGACGAATGAACGAGAGAGAGAGAGAGAGAGAGAGAGAGAGAGAGAGCTCTTCCTCGGCTAATTCGCGCGCGCGAGGTAATGTCGTAACGTCGCTCGCGCATGGACGCGCCGGTTATAATTGAGTTTCACGATTCGACGAGAGGGAGTCGCGGCGACGGTGATCCCTCTTTGCTGATCCTGATATATTATTTGTCCCGAGGAGCGTAAAGCTGTTTGTTTATCGGGGCCAGGCTATTAGGTTTATACGTTCGAGCAGTCGCTGCTGCCTTCGTAGGCATCTATCCGCGCGAAGAAGGTTATTTCCGCAATCGATTATCTACGGCGCCGGCTTCCATAATTCAGCGCATCTCTCTTTTTCCTCTTTCCTTTATCCCCCCTTCTCTCTCTCTCTCTCTCTCTCTCTCTCTCTCTCTCTCTCTCTCTCTCTCTCTCGGTTGGTTCTTATCGCCGCCGCCGAACGAGATTTCCAGGGCGGTCAGTCGCCGAGTGGAAAGCCATTTTAACGCGTCCTCGCGTCGCGAGCCAAAGTCCCTCCTCGGCTAATTGCTCCTAATCGCCCTGATGCACTCGCTACAAGCGAGAAGAGAGGGGGACGGATATCTGTTTTACATGAATTTTCATAAGCGCGCAGTCGACGGGAGAAATCCGAGTGGCCGAAATAGAGGCGATAGATGCGACGTAAAAAGGGAACGTTTCGATCGAGATGGAAGCTCGTGCGCGGACGAAAGAAACCGAAGGAGGGTCTTCTCCTCCGCCCTCCCCCCACCCCCCTCTCGTCTGGCGGATCTGTCTGTGTCGTCGTGGGCCGAAAGAATGCCGCAGGGTGTCGCGGTCGCAGCGGCGTCGGGCGCCTTTCTATCGCATTTCCTGCCACGAAGGTTAAAGAGAGAATTGGATGGGGAGAGACCGGCAGGACGAGGAGGCGTTATACCGGGCGTAGCATTAAATGCCCCGACGCGGTACAGGCTAAGAGCAACGGTAATTCGTAGCGGGGGGTAGAAGTTCAGCCGGTCGTTTCAGCCCCGTAGGTCACCGTGCTTAGAGCGCCGTGTCCAGCGCGCCGGACATTGCCGCGCTACTCTTCCACCTTGCCTTGCCCTAGCCTTGTCCCGAGCGAGGCCTTTCTTCCTTCCCCTCCTGCCGCTCCCTCTCTTTTTCGCCCTCCTTTCCTCTGCTTCTCTGGAAGCGCCGAGAAAGTCTGCGTCAACGCGATTTCCTCTCTTTCGCTCGCCACGCGTCGCCTAAACTCCAGCCTAGCTGGTTCCCGCGACGACGACTTGGAAATTGCCAGCACCCTCCTTGGGCTGACTTTCAACCGGTTCGCGACGATAAAGCATTCACACCGACTGGGGTCTTTGGGGAAATCCCTGTCCCGCGCGAAATCCCGCTATTGAGCTTCGCCGGCACGTGCCGGCACGTGTTCCTTTGCGCGACGACACGTTTCTCCGACATGTGGCCCGGCTGATTGCTAATTTTCCCCCAACTTTGGCGCGCGAGACACGACCTCGCCCCCCCCCCCCCCCCACCTTTCCCTTTCCCCCCTTCTTTCCTTTTTTTTCCCGAACGAGTTGAAGCCGCGCCGCGACCAGATTCGCATCGCCGCGTTCGCATGCGCGCGATAATGAAGGCCGGAAGCGTTGCGGCACAGTTATCATCTTATCAGGATCTTATCAGGAAGCCCGCCTTCAACGGGGCGCGCAATTACGCGAGACGTCGGTTACGCGACAGGCAGACGCGCGTTGATTTCTCCCTCGGCTTTTTCACCGCTCTCGCGCGATATATGCAGCGCGCCGCACAGCGGGGCCAGATGACATTCTTTGGTTGAAAATTCTCTAGAGACCTGAATTTCCAACCGATCATCGGCACCAATAGATGAGGTTGATCCTAAATAAATCCCGAAGAGATCTGTCTTGGCAAAATTTAAAAAAAATTTTTTTCTCGAATTACTAGCCCCAAAAGAGGGGAAAAATTATCGTTAAACGCGAGAAACTTGCGAAATACTCATTATTCGACACTTATTTCCATCTAATAGCGTATTCAGCGGATTGGAACTATGAAACCGATCAACAGACACCCCGAGATTTATCGATCTTGAACCAGAAACCCATTAACCCAAAACTCATATGCCCAAATTACAAAAACATCAAATATAGACCCGTTAACCCTTTCACTGCTGAGAGCATTAACTTCCCTTGAGAAAATTATTAAAATATTTGGTGGTCCTACGTTTCTTGGGTCGCTGATTACGAATCTAAAGTCAGATCTGCAAAATTAAAAATGCCGGACTCAATATGGCGATCATGATGTACAAAATTAATGAAAATTCCGATTATTATTAAATAATGACCAGGTCGTAATAAGAACATATGATTCTAGACGATGGAACTCGATCGAGCTGGACAAAATTTATGTTGGAAAATGTTCAATACTGCATATTTATGTTTATGCTAGAGATTAAACGTTCATTTTTTAGTAAAATAATACTGATAGTATGGATTAGAGATGGAGATACAGAATGAAAAAACTATGAAAATAGAGCTAAAAAGTGCAAAAGAATCAAATTTCGGCCGTTTTTGTATTTATTTATAAAAAAAATCTAACCTGCAAAAGAGTACTGGAAGAAATATATGCTTTTGTACAACATCAGAAAAATATTTGGTGAAAATTTCAGACCTCTACATTCAATACTCTCCGAGAAATCGATTTTTCCCTAAAAAAAGCATTTTTTTTCAACTTTGATTTGTTACAAATATTTGTCACAAATGAATAATTGGATATAAAAACCTATTGGAGTATGTTGAACAACAATTCAGTTATCTGGAAAACTCAGATCCCCGATTGGTTCTTCAAAATTATGTGATTTTTACAACGCAAAATTGAATCAAGAAAAGGTGAGAAGTATACTTAACCCACAAACCGTGAAAGGGTTGAGCACAAAACCGAGGGATTTTGAGTCTTAAGCCCATCAACCTAGGAATCTATCAATCCGAGAACTTTTTAGCTCGTGGATGCATGAAGCCGTATATATCAAGAGCCCCAAATAGTCCAAGAACCCAATCTAGCCATAGCTCGAGAACCTAATAATACTCGACGTTGAATATTCAGCTATAAAACATTAAGTTCGAGCCTAGAAATGCTGAATGCCAAATGGCTTGATTTTTTTTTTTATGTGGGCTGAAATGATGAGCTTTGAAATTCTGAGTTTTCTCAAAGGTGATTATAAGTTCTGGGGTCTCGCATTTAGTATCCATAGGCTCGAACCCATTGAGGTCGAACCGAAGACACTGTAC